TAAAAATCAAATCGTCCCCGGCATCGGCAACGGACTCTCTAGTTTCACGATACCTGAATAGACGCTCCACTGCGCAGGGTAACATGGACGACCTGGCAGCGGGCTGAACGAATTCGTGCAACGCATATGACGTCACCAGAAAACCGCCGGTGTTGCTCAACAGCGTGAAATCGTACTGGCAGACTCCGCAGCTACTGAATGTGTAAAGGGGGGGGTGGCAGTGAATGGTCAACCCGCGCCAGACCGGCGTATAGGCGGCTGTACGACGTACCTCACACAATTGGCTTCCCTATCGCCCGCGATAGTTGCACCCCAAAGCACCTGTTGATCCGAAATCTCTTCGCGAGTAATCTGTAAACTGTCGCCGCACTCTGGTGGCGCGTAGTAGCTCGAATCCAGCACTCTCAATCCCTCCATACCGAGTGCCGCGATCGTGCCGATCTGTGTGGACTGGCCGTCTTCACCGCCTTCAAAGAAGGGCATCCAAAGTGCGTGGCCATATGCAAGCGGAAACATCTGCTGAGCGTATTCGTATGCGGATGCACTAGTGGGGAGTCGCAGTAGAGCATGAAGTCAGCGTCGATCGAGCATAGCGATAGGTTTGCTCACCGTGCGGCAGTCTCTCTGACAGCATTCGCGTCGGACATGGAAGACGGATGTAGGAGTATTGGACGCCCTGAGGTGGCCTGTTCCGTCCGCTCTTGCGCCGGCGCGCGCTAACAATCATCTGCGGCGCTGAAGAATGCGACTGATATGAGCGTGGCAACGCGCCCGACATGATAGAATGACCTACACGATGCCATCTTGCATCGTATGTCAGCTGATGTATGCTTTCGTTCCCGATTTGGGAAGCAGTCGGAACAGTGTGCACAGTCGACTTGCTGCCTGGCGCGAGTTACGTGTCGTAGAACGCTATTTCCTGCTGACATGTGCGTGTGATTGAGATTGAGCGTTTTCTGCACAGGAACCAACAGAATACGAACTACTGACTCTTATGCGGACATGTAGCCGGACGCCTTACAGACTAGCATCCGTTCGGTCATGTCCTTTGGATTCCGTTAAAATTTACCGTTGCCGCGAACCACGCACGGTCCTGACTCCTCATCCTCGCCCGCCGGGGCCGCACCACCAGCCGCCTCCAATCATCGACGCGCCATATCTAACCTCCCAACCCCGTCCCTTCCCCTGTCCCCGCACCTCTCGCATGCAGGTGAAGGGAGCGGGGACGGGCATGCTCGCGGGCGGTCCGGGTGATACGCGCGGCTACCCGACGCCCGAAGCACGAAGCCTAAAATGGAGTCAGCGCGCCGCGTACGTACACGCAAGAAGACCAGGCGAGTTGGCGAGGATGCACGGACCGCCCGTCGAGGGTATAAAAGAACGTACCTTGCACACCGATCCTCCAGCAGTCAACGACTCGCCTCAGCTCTCTCCATCTCTCACTCGCAGTCTCCACACCCCCACTAACCCACCAAACCCCACCCTCTTCGTCCCCGTCTCACCTCACGAAACTAAAGATGTTCGCCCGCGTCGCCGCCCTCGCCCTCGCGCTCCCACTCCTTGCTGCCGCCCAGAGCTGCAACACCGGCGCGATGCAGTGCTGCGACAGCCTCGAGAGCGTGCGTACCCCTCTCCCCATCACCGAGCCCGACGGAGCTAACGCATGCGCCCGTTCAGACCGACTCTGCCGCAGGCGCCGCGCTCCTCTCGGCCCTCGGGAGCGTCGCACTCGGGGACATCACCGGGAAAATTGGCCTGAAGTGCTCGCCGCTCGCCGCCGTTGGGGCTGGCGCGGGCTCCTGCAAGGCGAGCCCGGTGTGCTGCAAGAACAACAATGTCGTACGTGCTCTCTGTGGTCTTGCAGCTCGGGGAGTCGTCACTAACACGTGGAGTGCAGGGCGGCGCGGTCTCCCTTGGTTGCGCGCCGGTCGTCCTGTGACCGACTTCGGCGTTGACAGTGGATGTGCGAGAGGTGATGTGGGAAGAGAGGGCAGTCGTATAGGTTGGATAATGCTGGATAATTGAATCATGTTTGAGAGTTCCACTGACCAAGAGTGCAGAGTTGCCTGAGTGAATTTCGTCGGCCAGCAAGATTCCCTACCAAAACATGCTTGTTAGTAGTCGCCCCTGTCTGGCTGGACGAGGGTCAGAAAAGCACTCACGCGGAGATCTGACGCCAGAAGGTGAACTTTCGCTATGATCAATGTCGAAGAGTTGACTAACTAGACGGTGACTGTTGAAGCAGGCCAGAAGATCTCGTGAAATTTTGTCAAAGAATTTGCTCACTGCGGGTGGCAAATTGTTAAGAGCACGCATATCCTCAGTTTCCTTACACGCAATGGTCTTGTCTCACGAAGTCCAAGTCGACAGCGACTGATGTCCTACATCAGAATAGATAGCGGGCGATGAGCGGTGATGCGAGATAGCGGTTTACAACACACGCGAGCGGGGATTGCAACAGAAAGCGATACAGGACTCGGCCAACGCGAACCTTCGTCTCCTGTCAGCCAATCCCCCAGACCTCGAGCGCAACGCACTCGAACGTGACGGTCTCGCCCTGGCGCTTGCCCGGCGAGCACAGCGGCTCGTTGTCGAACGTCAGACAGCGCGCGGACGAGCCGTCCGAGAGCGTCTCGTCCAGCCACAGCCCGTAGTGGCCGTCGCTACAAGCCGCTGTCAGCACGCACTCGATGATATCGCGATCAGGAAACGCACCCGCCGCCGAAGGAGATATAGTCGGGCTCGCAGAGCGCGACGTAGTCGTTCTTGCCCGTCCACTTGAACACCCGCACCCGGTCCGCCCCCGAGAGTTGCCACAAGAACCTGCCGCGCGCGCAAGGGCCAATCAGAGCGGCCCTATATCCGCCCAGGCACGAATACACTTACGATTCGCCGCTGCCGTAGTATGCGCCTTTTGAGGGGTGTATACCCTCGCCCATCCACGCGCCAAACACCGCATTGTTCGCGTCGCGGATGATCATGAGCGCACTGCCCTTGAAGTCCTGGCAGCGCGTGTACAGCGTGTTCAGCGAGATCCCATGCTGGTCGAGACTGTAGAGCAGCGTCCACGCGCGTGGGAGGCGCGCCAGGGCGGGGAAGAACGGTCGTATCTGCACACGTCCATTCTTAGTCTTGAGGAAGCGGAGTGCGTATAGCGTGCGTGCGTACCATGTCCGCGATCTCGACGGTGAGCACAGGAACAGTCATTTCTCTGCGGCCGTTGAGCCGCACGCTCTTGCGCTCCACCTGCGTCTTGTCAAACTCGAAGCCCTTGTTCCACTTGCGGTCGCCCGTGAAGCCCGGCGCCCCCGAAGGAGGTACAAATGTATGCGACGCGAAGGGCGAGCCGTGTGTGATCGATGAATCGAGCGCGGCCCCGGGAAGACCCTCGGACACTGTCGCGGCGCGCGAGTGAGGCGCAGACCGGGAGAAGCCTGCAAGATGAGAAGCGACGGCCGAGGCCGTGGGCGGTAGACGTGATGCAGATAGATCATCGGTGTGCGAGCCGCTCGGGCTGGGTGTAGAGACTGCGGGACGAGAGGCGGAGGAGCGTATTGCGGAGGATAGCAAGGAAGACACCATGCGCGATGGGAACGAGGGTGAGGAAAAGTATGAGGGTGTGCGTTGGATCTCGGGTGGGGATATGCGTGTTGGAGACGATGGGGGCAGCGATGGAGAGCGAACATGCGATGCGGCTGCAGCATGTCTCAGGGAGCGCGAATCTCGTTCGCTTTCGCCATCTCGAGGAGAGATAAAGTCGAACAGGGTATCTTCGGGGATGGACTGGGATATAGAGGATGCGGAACTTGCGATTGTGGGTGCATTATGAGAGACAGGCGGAACGAGGGGCTTCGCCATTCGACCCTCCGTCGGAGAGTCGAGGTCAATCAAGGACTCCCCCGCAAACGAAGGCGTGCCTGACTGTGTCTGGGCTGGTTGGGGGGTGGGGGTCCTCGACGCACGCGTGTCACTCGCACCTTGCATCCACGAGAGAGGATCGTTCTCATGCTGGAGTAGCTCGTCGAGTACCTCCCGCCGGTTCCTCTCCGAGGCAGCCTTGGCATCCTCCGTAAATCTGTCGAAGAACACTTGGTTCTGGGGCAGCGAGAAGACAGGATCTGCAGCCTCTTCTCCTGGATGGAGTGGATCCTCCGCGGCTGGGACAGACACGAACGCGCCGAAATCTGAGTCTGTAGACTCGGTGCGCATGTGTCGCGCGGGCCGAGTCTGACCAGGCTCTGGAGTGCGCGAGGGCGATGCTCTGGGAGTCGGTGGGGAGAATAAGGTCGCGAAGACGTCGTCCTTGTCGTTTGCGAACCCGGGAGGTTGCTGTCCGGGAAGCGGTATGAGTGGGGGCACTGGGATGGGCGACTGGGCACTAGAGCCGTCCATTTCGTGTGGCCCGCAAGCAGTTAAGAGTTCGTAAGACAAAAGTTCATGCAGGGGGGGACATGGTGGTTGGAAGCTATGATACAGATGGTCGCACAGGACGAGGACGTTCTCTCTCGCGAGCCGGCACTTGCGGCCGGCACATAGCGGTGCAGTGCACGCAGTGCGCTTCCATTTATGGCAACTCTTCAAGCTCCTCTCATCCTCCTTCCCCCAATCTTCGCGCTTTGTCCAATTTCATCTCTCATACGAGTGCAATAAATATATCTGCAGCCCTATTACAAAAGTATATACATTCTAGTGGATATAACATAACATAAACTGCATCTGGACAAATCATAGAGACTCTGCATTTAAGTCAACGAGTAAGCGCGTCTATCCCGGGCCGTGCCATGTGCCTTTTCGAGTTTGCGCACCTTGCCTCTTACAATCATGTCGGAACACATCCCTTCATCCTGCAACTACTCGAGCTTGCCTCCAGAGATCTGGGGACTCGTCCTAGAGTGTCTGCCGAGGACGGACCAACGGAGCTGCCTCTCGGTCTCGACAGCGTTCCGTGGCCTGGCGCACCCCCTCATCTTCTCCCGCATAATCATCCACTACGGGATGTGGAAGGCGCGGGAAAGGGATGTTGGGTTTTCCTTGCAGGATCTGCGCCTCATGGAACAGCGGTGCACCTCAAACACAGAGCTGTTGCAGCACGTCGCGCGCGACGCTCGATTTGCGCGGTCTGTCAGGACGATTTCCGTCCGCGCCCACGACGCGATGAAATGGTGTGACGCAGACGATATCCGTAGGCCTGCATTCACTATACAAATGGGCTGACGTGGTATCTCACCATTATTTTTTGAAAGAGCACCTTATCAACGCACTAGAATCGTTTCCGCACCTTCAATCGTTCCAGTGGTACGGATCCCGGCCACCTCTCCCGTGCTCAGTCTTGGATACCATAGCCAAAAAGTGCAGATCGACGCTCACAGAGCTAAGTATCTGGTGGGGTCTTCCATATATATGCTACATATATGGTCGCTGACGTCTTCATAGTGACATACTCGATTCAGATGAGGATGCATCACGGTACTTTGGGCAGTTCAGGAACCTCCAAACGCTCTGCGTGGCGGGGGACCGCCGCCATTTACCCATCTATACTCGATCAGAATACGAATTGATAATCAGGACCTGCGCGCAGCATACGCCCAATACACTTCTCCGCCTCTCCGTGTGGCAAGACGCGGTATGGGACACGCCACTGCGCGTGCTCTCCGGGCTACAAGAACTGTCTATGTACAACCCCTGCAGCCTCGACCGGCTCGACGTAGTCTTCGCGCAGTGTCGGCAGCTGCGTTCGCTCAACATCATGATCGCCAGTCCATCGTGCGTTCCACAGGTGCTCGCGGTGCTCGAGGCTGCCCCTTCAAACACACTCCCGCACCTGACCTCGTTCAAGTTCGTCTGCACCGGCGATTCGGGCATTATCGATTCGGGTCCGTTCTCCGCGTTCCTCGGGAACAGGCCGGCGATGCGGCGGCTCGACCTCAGGTTCAACGAGTGTTTCCGTGGTGTGGTCCACTACACGCGCTTCCTGGACATATTTGCGGGCCTTGCGAAGCTCGAGGTCGTCGGGCTGACGCTCGCGGGCAGCCACTTTTCACAAGAGCATCTGAAATTGCTGGACGCGCGGCTCCCCCGTGGTCTCTCTGCGCTGCTCCTTACCTGGGCCTTCATTCCTGTCGACGACGATGTAATGGTGGCGGACTGGATCGTGATGGTGTGTATCACTAGTGTACTAGCGCCGCAGAAAGTCGTTCCCAGCTAACCGCCCTTTTTGAGTAGCTCAAGCGACGGCCCTCGCTTGGGTACTTCCACGTCCTCGACTACGTGGATAGTCTGAACCTACGGGACACGTTGCTCCAAGCCCGGCTGCCCGCGCTCGAGCTTGTCGGGTATGGTGCACACATGGCCAACATCGAACGCAGCGTTCACGCGACCGACGAGTCGGTGTACGGGCCACACTGGAAGGAGGAGACCGTCAACTTCGGGACTGCGGAGGATTTCGGGTGCGAGGACTGGGCATGGCTACTGCAGTACCACGACTGGGACGGGTTATCGTGACGGCTTGAGCCCCATTGTGTAAAATGCCATGTGATTGTGTATCTGACAATAGTCTGCATGCTCTTCTGCTGGAGTTGAACAGTTCGGAAAGGGACACAAACAAGGGAAAGACCATTGGACCAACTCCAAGTGAGTGCTATACAAACTAGCCTTTACAAGACATCAGTCACAACTACAAAGGGGAGCAATGCAAACCAGCATGCGCGCGTGCCGTGCGCGATCATCTCAACTTGTCCCAATCATGGTACTGCAGCAGCCAGACCCAGTCTTTGCACCCAAAGTCCTCCGCGAGCTCAAAAGCAATCGCCGCATCCGACCACGGCGGCCCATACACCGACTCGCCGGTTGCCTGGTCGCGCTCGATGCTACGAATCTGCGCGCCATACCCCACGAGCCTCAAATCCCACCAGTGGTCCTGCAGCAGCTGGTCGCGTAGGTCCAAATTCTGCACGCGGTCGAGGACGTGGAAGTAGCGCAGCGAAGGTCGTTTCTTCAGCTAAAGCAATGAGGGGTCCGGGGCGATCAACATAATAGGAGGCGAGAACAGGATGTCCCACGTACCATGTTGGCCCAATTCTGCTCAACGAGGGTGGCTTCGACAGAAGGGAAGGACCATTTCAAGAGTAGCCCCGTGAGGCCAAGCGGGAGCCGCTCGTCAAGCAGCCGCATATGTTCGCTATAGAACCCTTCGCCCTGCAGCTCTAGTCCCACAACCTCAAGCTGCGGAAGGCGTGCAAACACGTCGAGGAACCGCGTATACGTGTCCATGTCATCGAGAGCAAACGAGTAGTTGAGGCTTAGATCGAGCTGTCGCATGCCCTTCTTATTTTGGAAGAACGCGATGAACGCGCTCGGGTCGGTGACAAACGCTTCCCCCCAGAGGACGAGCTTGAACATCGTGAGATGCGGGAGCGCGTCCGGTGCTGCTTGCAGCACCGCGAGCACCTCCGACTCGCAATTAGCGCCGCCGGCTGTTATGGCAAGAGATCGTAGCTGCGTGCAGCGCGCGAAGAGAACACCGAGCCTGTCCAGGCTGCGCGGGTTCATCACGGACAGCTCGTGCAGCCCAGAAAAAGCGCGTAACGGGGTCGCCCAGACCGCGTCCCGCCATAAGGAAAGGTGGCGGAGGTTGTCAGGCACGTGTTGAGCACAGGTTGTAAGTATGGCCTCGGAGTCTCCCCCGTACCCGGTAGATATGGGAAAGTGGTTGGAGTTGCCTGCCAACGATAGCGTTTGGAGGTTCTTGAACTGCGCTAGATACGGCGACGCGTCCTCCATCAGCCCGACGACGCCACTAGAACAACATTAGTAGCTGATAATGATGTAGAGTCGGAGAAGAAAAGACTGACGAGATGTCTAGTTCAGTGAGCGACGATCCGGTGGTTCTCACTAGCGTATCGAGGATTGAGGATGAGAGAGGAGGTCTGAAGCCGTACCATTGGAAAGACCGAAGGTGCGGAAGAGATTCCAGTGCGCCAACTATGTGAGCTTGCGGGATGTGATCAGACGTCACAATATCATACAAAGCAGCGAGAAAGCTACCAGTAAAATCCGGGTCGCTCTGTCCATCGGGGCCCCGCTGATAGGTGAGGACGGACAGCGTCTTCACCAACCACGCAAACTGCGCGTCGCGTGCGATGTATTGCAGTATCTCTGTAGCTGCGATGTTCCGCCATTTGATAAGCTGGAGCTCGGATTCGGTGTGTCCGTGCCAATTCAGCTCTTGTGTACGCCATAATCCGACGTGAATGACTATGCGGGAGAAGACAAGGGGGCGCGCCAATGCACGGAACGCTGCCGAGACCGAGAGACAGCTCCGTTGGTCCGTCCTTAGCATTCGCTCAATGACAAGGCCCCATAGCTCTGGAGGCAGACGAGAGTAGTCGCAGGGTGTGGGCTCGAGTTTGGACATGAGCATGAGCGCGGGTTGAGAGCTGCAAGAGCCACTCCAGTTCGCCCACAAAGCCAAGACGTGTATCGGCCGGGCCGCCGGCACCAGTTACTGATCCCGAACCTCGTTCACTCCAATGGCCGTCAGGCTCTCCTTTCGTCCTGCCACACAGCTGTGAGCGGATTACTCGCGAGCCCAATCTGGATGGCTATGGCGACAAGCCAGAAACTCGCATATGACTTCTCTGTTCTTCCCACAGAGCTCTGGGCTGCCATCGTGAAAAGCCTGGAGAGCGCCGACCTACGGAGTTGTCTTTCGGTCTCGGGACTGTTTCGTGACCTTGCGCGCCCTCTCGTCTTCCATCGCATAATAATACGTGTCGGTGTATGGAAAGTGGAGGAAGATGATGAACACATTCTCTACAACGACGTCCAGCTCGCGGAACGACGCGCTGTCAGGAACAAGGACATGCTGCGGTATATCGCACGGGACGCACAGTTCGCACGGATCGTCAAGGCAGTCCACGTGCGAGCATACTGCGAGTGGGGAGAAGAGACACAGCTGGACAACAGTAAGCCATCCTTTTGTATACGTTTAGTTGCTTGAACCTGACCGTTTCTTCAAAGCACTGATGATCCACGCACTACAAGCGCTTCCCCATCTGCGGTCATTCCAGTGGCATGGCATCTCACCGGCACTGACACTTGCAGTATTTGATGCGCTAGTAAAGACGTGTGGGACATCACTCAATGAATTAACTATTGGGTACGTTAATTTGATGTCGCATTCCTGGCCGGCTGACACCTTTCCAGCTCCATGCACAACCATGGCGGAGCTCCGGAGTACCTCGCGCAGTTCACGGGCCTGCAAGCTCTCTCACTAGCAGGGAATCTCTGCGACCTGTTCCATTACGGAGAGCCGGAGCCCGACCCGTTTGTCATGACCAGCGTCCAGCACGTGCCCACCACCGTCCTCCACCTCCGAGTACTGGGGGATGCAGTATGGGACACCCCGCTGCGCGTGCTCTCTGGGCTATACGAGCTCTCTTTGCAACGCGCGGAGAACCTTGGGAAACTGGAGGTCGTCTTTCGAACCTGCGCGCAGTTGCGGACGCTCAATATCTTGACTGTAAGCGCCACCGGCGGGGCACAAGCTCTCTCCGCGTTGCAGGCCGCGCCGGACGCTCTCCCGTACCTCACGTCGTTCAAGTTCATCTGCGCGTCAGAGGTGGCCAACGTCAATCCTGACGCGCTTCCCGCGTTCTTCAGGAACAAGTCTGGCATGCGACGGCTCGACCTCAGGCTCGACAGCCCGCTCGAGGATTTGGACATCTACACTCGATTCCTGGATATCTTCGCTGGTCTTCCGGAGCTCGCGGTCGTGGGACTGATGTTCAATGTCCCGACATTCACGCGTGAACATCTGCGATTGCTGGACGAGCGTCTCCCGCTAGGACTGTCCGCGCTCCTGCTGAGCTGGGCATCCTACTCTGCCGACGACACTGTCCAGAAAGAAGACTGGATTGCCATGGTAAGCAGCCGTTCCGATTCCTCCCGCTGGTGCTACCTCTCTGAGCCTATTTGTTCGGTCTCCGCAGCTCAAGCGACGCCTGTCGCTGGCCTATTTCCATGTCCTTGTGCACAAATTTGACTTGTGCGAGCTGCTGCTGAAGGATCCCCCGCCCTCCCTCAAACTCGTCGGGTACGGTTCTTGCATAAGCAGTCTCGAACGCGACCCGGCGAAGGGTGAAGCCGCCTACGGACCTATATGGGACGAAGAGAAGGTGGGCTTCCGGACAGTGGAGGATTTCGGATGTGAGGACTGGGAGTGGCTGCTGCGGAGCCACGACTGGGCCAGTCTGCGTACGTGCTTCGCTGCCATCGCGTCTTTCGCTCTATGCACAGGCTAACGTACGTGGGTTTGCGCTAGATTCGCTGAAGCCGTATGATTATTCCAAGGAATGCTGGCGCCACGTCCGCTAGGCTGCGACGTTGCGCAGATAAGTAGTGTCTGGGACAGTCGCACTTCTCTCTGCAATTCCCTTTTTCTTCCTGGAACGGCGGCGGCAGAGGGCGGGCGGGCAGTAGGGACTACGTGTACACTCGGAGCAATATATTTCGTGTCGTACACATGGCCGGTCTCGAATGTGTGCTCTGTGGGCGTTGTGGTGGCGGTGCAGAGTTGAAGTGTCGGGACTTGGCTGGCGTCTTCGCGAGGGCGGACCGGGAGACATGCGCGGACGGACCGGCGGGAAATGCACATGTGAGGACGACGGCCGCGGCGAGAATCAAAGACTCAGACAGGATTCTGGGGGATAGTGGGCTCTGGGGGATATTGGGGGACGGGGAGGGGGAGGGGGAGGGAGCACTTCATCACAAGCCTGAAACACACACTCGAGACGTCCAAGTCCACTCGCATTCTGCTCTATCATACTAGTACAGCACAGGATCCAAGTCTCGAGCCGGGGCGACAGAATCTACGGACAGGAGAAGGGGGACAAGTCTCGGGACTCGGACACCTCCCGAGCACGCTACGGACACCGAAATTGCGCGCTGTAAATGGCGCTTTATCGTAATATACCCCAGCACTATGTACGCGCCGGAGACGCGCTGCGTTGTCGCAGAGTCTCGTAGGATTCGTCGACAGACCAGGGAGCCGCCGTGGAAGCAGAGTCCACTCCCTCGGGCCTCGAGCATGCGTTCTGGCGCGTCGAAACTGCGCGTGCACGTAGCGCAGAGTCTTGCTGTGCCATGGAATGCGATTAGACGCGGCCGCGCTGTCGAGAAATCGCGAGGGAAGAGTAGCGGCCCGGAGCTGGCGGTGGGAGTCAAGCCAGCACTCGAGCGCGTCGTAGGCATCCTGGCACGCTAAAATTGCGCGTGGCGATAGCGCCAAGTCGTGCCATCCGCTGAAATTTGGATGGAGTCGCCGGAGTCGCCGTGTCGTTGCGGAATTGACAGGGGAAGGGATAGCGGCGCAGAAGTCCCTGGTACAGCCGAGTCCAGAGCTCCCGCACGTCGTAGGAGTCCAAGAGCGCCAAAATCGCACGCGTAGGTAGCTGAGGGTCGTCTCGAGCCGTCGGGTGCGTTCGGAGGTGGCCGCCGCGCCGTGCCGTTGTGATATCGAGAGGGGAGAGGCGGAGTGCCTAGAGCCGACGATGTCCGGCTTGCCCTCGCTCACAAAGCTCCTGGCGCGTCCAAATCGCAAACAAGGCACGCCAAGAGTCTTCTATTATCCATCAGGCCGTCCAATCGCAGCTGCGTCGACCCGGGCGCCCAGAATCGAGATCGAGAGCGGCGGGACCTCAAGAACTGGCTGCAGAAGCCAAGTCCACAGCCGAGCACCTCGGAGGTGCCGAAATGGCCCGAGCCATGTGCCGAATGTCGTACAGTCCCAAGAGAAACATGTAAGACACCATTGCTGCGCGTCGTCGTCTCGGAATCGGGAGGGGAACACTGAGAGCCCGGGGACAGTCTGTTGGAGTCGAATCGGCCGGCCGGCCGTTTGCAAAAGCCGTTCAGCGCCCAGATTACGTATATGGTATGCCAAAAGTCGTATCGTGTGCGTGAGAAGGCACACGAGTCGTCGTATCATCGCGAACCCGAGTGGACGAGACAAGGGGGCAGGGGAGAGCCAACAAAACTGGCCGGCCGGCCAGGCAGACTCGAGCGGCTCCCGAATGTACTCAGATGCTCGAGATGCGCATCCTATGCCGTAACCAGGATCAGCAAGTACCTTTGCGGGTGCGCGGCACAGAACGTACCGCAGATCCCGCCGCGCGGTCGTGGGGAGACGAGACAAGCAGCGCGGTCGTTTAGACGCCCACGCCACGCCCACAACTCGCCAAGTCCAATGGCGCCTCTTGCCTCCACACCGCCACCACCGACTCGCTCTCTCCCGCTCGTTCTTACGCTGTTCTCCCCTCGCGACGTCTTGTGGCCTCGAAGATCTTGCTGGCGGCCTCGGGCCATCTACCGACGACGTACTCGGTGCGTACTGACGCATTCCGAGTGTGCTGATCTTCCCTGTGCATGAGCAGGCCCTGCCGTGCCTTCGAGCCTCCGCAGCTGCAACAGGCACGCACAGATGCGCCCGTGTCGCCTGCAGCTATCGCAGAACGTGTGAGTTTCAATTTCGATAATACAACGCGCAAGCTTACCCTGATAGGCTCTCGCGGAGTCGCCAAATAGCCGTGCAGACAGTCGACGCAGCCGTGCCGCACAGCTAGGTGAGTGCCCCGCAGCGTTGTGAGACGTCTGGGAGCGTGTTTTCACCTCGACAGCGTACCACACACGTACTTCCGCGCCCCGGATGACGTCTTAGGCAGGGGACGTCGAGGATACCACGTGTGTGGTACAAGGGGAGTCGCCACGGCGCCAGTGGGTCAAGTGCCGTCGAAGAGCCCTCGAGCGTGGAAAGAGACGTCGAGCAGGCCGGGCAGGGCGGATCGGGAAGGTGGGTGCAAGAGGGAAAAGGTACCGGCATTCGCGCGCACTGCGTGGCTCGCGTGTTCTGCGCCGCCACCGTCTTCTGCTCTAGGCTCCCATGCACGCTATGCGCGATCTTCCGTCGTTTGGTTGGCTCTGCTCGAGTCTTCACGAGTATCTCCTTGCTGCTGGTGCTTTTGGGATCTGGGAACCTATAAGTTCTCAGACATCTGCACGAGTTTGCTGCGGCGAGGAGACATACCTGCCAACTTGTGCCCCTTGCGACACGAAACCTTGCCCCTCTAGCACGCACGTGTGATGAACTCGGACCTCCAGAATGTCTCTCCGGTGCGAACCTCTAGGATCTTGGGGCCCGCTTCTGCCGGATAATCGGCATGTCAGCGAGCTATCTCGTCACCAAGTCCATAGGCCTGCTCACCTGGTGATGTCGATACCCACGCCCGCACGACCGAGTGCAGGGCCGATGACCCACGTCCTTCGCACACCCCCGGCCTGTCCAAGTGTCTTCTGCGTGGAGCGGCTCGGGATATCTTGCACTCGCTGTCTCGGCTTTGCTGTCGCTCTTGTCGGGCTCGAGGCTTCTGGTGCTCGTGCTGGTCAATATGGCTGATCTTGTGCTTGTGGCTGCTGGGAGGGACTCATCACTCAGCTTGATTGCTGTCTCGCGCTCATACAGCCATGCTCACCTAGCGATAGGTGCTGCCGTGCGCGACCTTGCATCGATGTGGCGTTGCACCAGCCTGAGAGATGGCGGCGGAGGGCGAGTTGTGCAGCCACTGTGCGGCGACCATGATGCGGAGCATGGACAGCGGAGGAGGAAGGCGGGGTTGAGGGTTGAGACCCAAGTGGGATGAAGGGACGGGCGGTGGTGGGTTGCCAAGAACAGAAGGGGGTCACGGCTGACACGATGCCGCTCGCCGCTCAGAATGTACGGTAGTGCCAAATTTGTCAGTAGTTCCACGTATGCAGCAACACCGCCAATGCCATCTATCAGGGCTCGCTTAGGGTGGACAATAGGCCTCACAACTATCCTGGCTTCCATATTCAATCTTAGGGTTTCAGACTTTCGCCGCCTCGCCTAACAGATTATCGCCGCCGCAATGCCGCTCACGCGCTGTGCACAATATTCATGCTTACGGCCGGATCTTTCCTGCTCACCTGCAAAACAGGCGTATAGACAGGATCGGCCATGGAATATGGCGAGGCCGTGCAGATTGCCTGCTCGACCTGGCCATTTTCCCCGCCCGGTCATGTCTAGAACTTTCAAAATCTATCTACCGCCTCTCGCAACTCCATATCTACGCGATTACTCAATATTCTACCTCCGCGCCGGGCCCCACTGCTGCAGCTACAATTTCCGCCGCCGCCACGAGTAAGTACGTACTGCACACCCTGAAATACATTACTGCACCGCCTAGGCTCCCACACTGCTCCGGACATTCCGCCTGCAGGCAGACCTGGACGACCCGAGCATTTGCTTGCCTGGTAGATGTGGAGATTCAGTCTAAACCGCATCGTCCAAGTGTCGCGCGGAACGAAAGTCGGGTCGAGGATGCAGCCCGAGTCGATCTGTCTACATCTGTGCCCGATATGGCATGTGGTGCGGTTCGAAGCGCCGCGCGCGGGCGGACTTGGCGCGGGCGGCCGCAGCTCTGTCCTGCACGTCCACGACAACGTGCGCACCCTCCCCCACGATGCTCTCTGCCACTTCAGCTCGACGTAAAAATACGATAGCTAATATTTTGTGATGCAATGCGACACTCTTCTACGCCTGAGACCGTCCGACTTGATCGACACTGTACCCAGATGCCTCGCACTCGGACACCCGTCTCGACGGACACCACACTGCCTCATCGACGAGAAGCCCGCCCAGCTCGATCGATGGCAGACCGTACTCATGCACAAGAAGTCCAGAAGCCGGCCGTCAGGCGCACACTAGCTTCGCCGCCGCGGACCGCCGCCAGGCTCACGCTATTCGACCGCAGCCCCAAATTCAGAAGCACTTCATACAGGGCGGGCGGCGGCGGGAGTTCTGCTACCGCAGGTACCAGACTTCTGGAGAAGACCCTCACAGCTGCCGTGTACCCCTGCGTTGGCTCGTGATCGATCGAGTCGAGGCAAATCTTGCCCCGGGCCTTGTGCATGCGCACTCGTTCTTTTGCCCAGAATGTATGGTAGGTGTCTCCGAGTCCACGTAACTCCGGTCGAATTGTATGATCGTTGACCCTCTCGATAGCCCTCAGCAACCCAATTCTTCACTAGCTATCTACTACACACACACTGTACTCCTTCGCAGGGCTCGACGCGAGCCTGATCATTGCATTCCCGATGCTCGAGCATGGTCCGTCCCTGAGATCCGATTTGACAGCCGGGATATCGGCGTCCAGGACCAATCTCATTCCGAGTGTGCTGCAAGCTCGATTCCCCAATGAAGAAGCTTCTCGTGCGAGTATTTTTGCCCCCGACTGCGCTGTCTTGCAGCGCTCATCGGGCAGGCCAATCATCGACCTACCCCGGGCCTCGCAAAGCAATGGTCCCTGACGATCTGCACACTGGTGCAGAACGGCTCACTGCGCGAAATGAGCAGGTACGCGTGAGCTTTTGAATCGGACGCGAACGGACCGTGACAACATTCCGACCCATTGCACGCCGTTCCTACACTCCAGCAGCACGCCGCGCGCGTGCGGCATGGAGCTCGCGTTGTCACTGGTTAGTAAGTGCCCTTTTCCACCAGCGGTAGCAGGCCACTAACTGCCCAGACATCCTGCAGGCCATCTCGGGTGTACAGGGACCCGTCAGGCTCGCTGTTGCCCTAGCGGCCTAGGGGCCGCATATTCGCAGTTCCTGGCGACACAGATTGCCTAGCTCGATCAAGAACTCCTCAGGCGACGATGAATGCACCCGAAACACGCAGGGCCGCAAAGAAGGCAGAAACCCCAGGACTTCGATGACGGCCGAAGCGATCGTGTTGCCCCGCCGCCTGTTGCTTGCTGTCACGGCGGTGCGCACCCTGAAATCGGGAAGACGACGGGGGAATCAACGGTCGGGGTGAAAGGATGTATTCGAGGGAGTGCAATGTTCACGGTCGAGTGGCCCAGCATAGTACATACATGAAGACGATGTGTCGGGGCTCCTAGTAGACTAGTTTACCTGTTCGTGCTCACTCGAGTGGCCCCGACGGTTGTCCACTTACGAACTCGCATATTTTGGCGGCCGCCCGAAGATCCGCATGCGACACAGATGATGTACGCTCTTGTCTGAGCAAAAAGATAGCACTGAACCTCGGCCCTCGCATCTGCACCTTCCTCTCGATCGGAAATGGCACAGACCTCGGCAGGTTCACATCCGAGTCTACGCGCCGATTTACTGGGCACTCGCATACGGTACGAACATGGTGGCATGTGCGCGGAACTAGTTTATTGTGCGTGGTAGTATCTACAGGCACTTGGGCGCCGGCTCACCAACGGTGGAGACGGCACCTTCGATGTACGGCGGTGCAAGCCTTGCGCACCGGCGCGCCGTCGCAAAAGCTGTCCCTGGATCGAGTACGACATCAGCGGGCACGCCCTGTTTCGCATTGGCGGATGCACTCACCCCGAGTGCGCCCGGATCGCACCCCGTTGGTCCGCGGTATTCTCACCTCCGGAAATATGCACGCCTCGTTCTACACCTCCCTCGACCCTCCATTCGTCGAGTACGATCACGCCACGGCGTCCCAGGCCGGCGCCCCAGCCTTCGGAAGGGAGACCGTCGCCCCACGCAACCCGCTCGGCGAGGCGAGGCGAAGGTCAGCACGGCGGGCGGGCGGAGATGGGGCGAGTTCCGAGGCCGCGGTGCTGACGTTTGCCCGCATAGTTGCGGCCAAGCTTGCGCGAGCCGGTCGAGACCCGTACGACGTGCGGCGGTGCGATCGTATATATACCCGCGCGCGCACACACACGACGCGCAACGCTCTTTCTCCTTCCCTCGTTGTCCTCCGTGCGCGACGCACCTGCGTACCGGAGTGCCGTGCTCGATGCACCCGCACCTATCCTCCGACTCCGACGCCCCGCGGCCGCCTCGCCATGGTTTCGCTATGTACGTCGTACGGACACGCCCGCGAGGGCCGCAGGTCAGTCCTCCTCTGCGTCGTGATGCCTCTCACATCCCTCGCACTGCAGCACGGCCATCGTCAGCGCGGACACGCCAGGTATACGCATGGTACGTACCTGAACTGTGGTTCCGGATGGTGCCGCTAACACGCCCGTCCTTTCTTTCCACGTGCAGAGGTGCATGCTGGACGCGAGCAAAGACCGCACAAGGCGCAGATCGTAGGGGCTACCACGAGGGGTAAGTATCGGGGCACCGGGATGGAACGTCGCTAACGCACTTTCCAGACGGCCGAATCCATGCACGGAGCACTCATGGCGTGAAGGACGCGGCCGGGGTGTCGATCGAGGAGGCGAGGGCGAGGGCAGGCTTGTAGTGGTAGTGGTAGATATCAGAGCCTGGACCACGGGCGCGATGTGTTGCGGCACGCAGGTACGAGCGAGCCGTCTGACATGTCTGCAAAGAGGCAACACTGATGCTCATTAACACAGGTGCTGACTACCTACAGCTCGGAGCGCGTCGTACGCGCACACCCAGGATCTGCGACTGCGCCACTCGCGAGCCTCTCGCAGGCAGACCCAGGTGCGTACTCGTGCTTTCGTTCCGTGCGCATTCTGGTGTCAGAGTCCACGCGGGCGCGCCCTCGCTGGGACGTGCACCGTCGACGTCCCCCGCGACCTAGAGCCGCCCGACGCGCTCGTACGTGCCGGTATTTGTGCCGAGGACGCCCATGAGCGCGCCTGCCATGCGGCGTGGCTGCATGGCGCGAGACGGCGGCGGTACGCGCGAGTTCGCGTTCCACGCCCGCAAGGTCGGACTCGGCGGAATCTCCGCGGATCAAGCCACGATTCACGTGCTGTCCGCCATAGAGGCTGAGCCTGTCGTTCAGTTTACAAGAGCACACGGCGCGTTGTCCGCGCGCGCGAAGTCGCCGTTGTGTCGGCTAGGCTGGGCACCGGCCCCGAGCCATCCGCCGCGACGTGGCCGAGAGACGGTCCCTGCACACCTCATGAGTAGCGGTGACGGCGGAGAGAGCTCCCTTGAGTGTACCCACCGAGTTGCGTGGCTGTAGAGCGCGGGATGGTGGGGATACGCGTGTTTTCGTGTATCGAGTCCGCAAGGTCGGCCCCGTCCGACCAGTTTTGCTTTTTCTTCTCCAATCGCTCCAAAATGAGCAGGGTGTGCGCCCAACAATTCTTACACTCTGCCGTTCCATTTTCGGAGGCCCACGGTGGCTCGTTCGCGCTCGCGAAGCCGATCTCACGTCGGGAATATTAAGCGCCGGCCGAGAACTGTCCGCCGTGACGCGGTCGGGATGGCGGCCGTGCGCACCGCGTACGCAGCGGAGGCAACGAAGGGGGTGCTTCCCGATGTACACATCGAGTAGCACGGCTGCAGCGCGCGGGACGGCCGCGCCACGCGCGTTTTCGTGTTCCGGGCCCGCGAAGTCGACCGCGCCCAACACACTCGATTTCCTTTTTCTCCTCGGATCGTGCCGCAATTCGCAGAGCAGGCGAAGGCGAGTCCATAGACCCCGCCGTTCCGTTTTCAGGAGCCCCCGGTGCGCCGTCCGCGCTCGCGATCTCGAGTCGCCAGAAACAGGCGCCGGCCTGGAGACGTCCGCCGCGACGCGCCCGAGATACGGGCCCGGGGTGCGTCACAAGCAGCGGAGGCGGTGGAGGGCGTCCTTGCGGGCATACCCGCCGAGTCGGACGGCTGCCGGGCGCCGGACGGCGGCGCAGCGCGCGTTTCCGCGATGTTGGCCGTGTCGACGCCCATGAAATCGCGGCAGACGACCTGCGGCCGACCTCCTCGGATCGCGCCGAGATGCGGGGGGCACAGGCCCCCGGGTGCATGGACGCTGCCGCTGAGGGCGGGGATGCGGGGCGGGGGCGCGGCGGCGGCGGCATTGCCGGGCGTCCGGCCTGGGTATGTCGTTGCAGTTGCGTCCCGCCGTGGCGCAGCGCCCCCGGACGTTCCTCAGAAAGTCAGAACGGCGGGGTCGGTCGGTTGAGCATGCGTGCGCGGCTGCCGAGCAGGGCACGGGCGCGCGACGCGCGATGCGCGTCGCGGCGCGGTCGATCGGCCCATGAAATGGGTCGACACTGCCGAGATATTTTCTGCGCGGACCGCGCCGCCAATCGCAGGGCGGGTGCGTCCTGGCGCATGGGCCCCGCCGTCCGAGTGTGGGAGGCCCAGGGCGCGATGTTCGACCACGAGGGCGTCGGCTCGTCGGTGGGCCGCCTAATAACGCGCGTGTTGAGCGTTGTTTGCGCGCGGACGGGCTGGGAACGCACCTAAAGCATGCACAGAGCGTGGGCGTCCCGGGACACGCGGATACAGGCGGCGGCGGGGCGTGAGCGACGCGGGAGGCGAGCGGGACATGCGGGTGTTGCAAATGCGAGCGGCCGCACGAGAGCCGAGCTCCATCGTCATCGTTCATGCCGACGCATGCAGCGCGTATGCGCCGTGGTTCGTGGGGGCCAGACAACATATCTACTGAGCGTTTAGACATGCCGTCGGAGCGCGGGGTCGGGGACACGGCGACGGGCGCGGCCCGGCGTGCGGGACGAGGACTTTGTCGCACCGTGTCGGCGACGTCGTGGATGGTTCCGCCGGTCCTGGGCATGCGTCATGTCATAGCTGAGGCGCGGCGGGGCGGTATAACGTGTTGTAGACGCGTTTCTGCGCACGGGCGCACTGTAATCACGAGATGGTCAGAACCGTTCGGGTCGGCGCGGGCTGGAAATACACACACCGCGAGCGAGGGCCGGTAACGGTCTCGGCGTCCAGTTTCGGGACGTTTCGGCGCGTGCGACGTGGTCGGAAGGAGGTAGGAGGTCGGCGAAGGGGTGTATCTTGCAAGAGGCGCCGCGAACGCAGGACGCGTGCGGCGCGTTTGCGCGTCGGAAGGTGTCGTGGTTGGTGTGCTACCTACGTTCTCCTAGCGATTCAGACAGGGGCGTTGAGGTGCGCCTGCTGGGCGGAGCGTGCTTGAGGGCGCATGGCTGGCGGCCCTTATTTGAGAGACAGTGAGGCTGGCGACTCACCTGCAGCAAGACCACAGTGCTGCCGACGGTCTCCAGTGGGCGGCCCATGCGCCAATTGATGTTCGCAGACGCGAGGATGGCGGATGTGCCGCAAGGTGGACCGAGTGCGGCGGTCGCGACCGAGGAGGCGACGGTTACCGAGACAGACCACACCGGCGAGCTACAGTGCGGGGATGCGACGGCGGAGGTGCGGCAGGGCGTCGAGTGCGGCGGCGGCGACTGGTGGGCGGGGTTCGAGATTGAGGACAGGCTGCAGAAGCTCCTGCGAAGTCCTGAGGCGGGCGCGGATGGCGAGAGTGAGTGAGGCCGTGAAGCTTACGTGGGGCTAGTGGGACAAGAGCATGGGGGCGCGCAGAGCGAGTCGAGCGAGGCTGGCGGCGAGTTTGCAAAGCGAGGGAGGACAGCACGAGAGAGCGGCGAGGGCGCGGGCGTGGATCGAGCGGGCCTCTGCCAACGGCGACGTGGGCGGGCGCCTAAGGGGCCGCGATCAGGCAGCATGCGTCATGCGAGCCTCACTCACTCACTCACTCTGAGCACCTCTGCGGCAGGCCCGGCACCGGTTACTGATCCCGAACCCCGTTCACTCCGAGTGCCACTGGCCGTCAGCTCTCCTTTCGTCCTGCACACAGCTGTGAGCGGATTACTCGCCAGCCCAATCTGGATGGCCATGGCGACAAGCCAGAAACTCGCATATGACTTCTCTGTTCTTCCCACAGAGCTCTGGGCTGCCATCGTGAAAAGCCTGGAGAGTGCCGACCTACGGAGTTGTCTTTCGGTCTCGGGACTGTTTCGTGACCTTGCCCGCCCTCTCGTCTTCCATCGCATAATAATACGTGTCGGTGTATGGAAAGTGGAGGAAGATGATGAACACATTCTCTACAACGACGTCCAGCTCGCGGAACGACGCGCTGTCAGGAACAAGGAGATGCTGCGGTATATCGCACGGGACGCACAGTTCGCACGGATCGTCAAGGCAGTCCACGTGCGGGCATACTGCGAGTGGGGAGAAGAGACACAGCTGGACAACGGTAAGCCATCCTTTTGTATACGTTTAGTTGCTTGAACCTGACCGTTTCTTCAAAGCACTGATGATCCACGCACTACAAGCGCTTCCCCATCTGCGGTCATTCCAGTGGCATGGCATCTCACCGGCACTGACACTTGCAGTATTTGACGCGCTAGTAAAGACGTGTGGGACATCACTCAATGAATTAACCATCGGGTACGTTGATATGATGTCGCATTCTTGGCCGGCTGACACGTCTCCAGCTCCATGCACAACGATGGTGGAGCTCCGGAGTACCTCGCGCAGTTCAAGAGCCTGCAAGCCCTCTCACTAGCTGGGAATCTCTGCGACCTGTTCCATTACGGAGAGTCGGAGCCCGACCCGTTTGTCAAGACCAGCGTCCAGCACGTGCCCACCACCGTCCTCCACCTCCGAGTACTGGGGGATGCAGTATGGGACACCCCGCTGCGCGTGCTCTCTGGGCTATACGAGCTCTCTTTGCAACGCACGGAGAACCTTGGGAAACTGGAGGTCGTATTTCGAACCTGCGCGCAGTTGCGGACACTCAATATCTTGACTGTAAGCGCCACCGGCGGGGCACAAGCTCTCTTCGCGCTGCAGGCCGCGCCGGACGCTCTCCCGTACCTCACATCGTTCAAGTTCATCTGCGCGTCCGAGCTAGTCAACGTCAATTTTGACGCGCTTCTCGCGTTCTTCAAGAACAAGCCTGGGATGCGGCGGCTCGACCTCAGGCTCGACATCCCGCTCGAGGATTTGGGCATCTACACTCGATTCCTCGACCTCCTCGCCGGTCTTCCGGAGCTCGCGATCTTGGGACTGATGTTCAATGTCCCGACATTCACGCATGAACATCTGCGATTGCTGGACGAGCGCCTTCCGCTAGGACTGTCCGCGCTCCTGCTGAGCTGGGAATTCCACTCTGCCGACGACACTGTCCAGAAAGAAGACTGGATCGCCATGGTAAGCAGCCGTTCGGATTCCTCCCGCTGGTGCTACCTCTCTGAGCCTGTTTCTTCGGTCTCCGCAGCTCAAGCGACGCCTGTTGCTGGCCTATTTCCATGTCCTTGTGCACAAATTTGACTTGTGCGAGCTGCTGCTGAAGGATCCCCCGCCCTCCCTCAAACTCGTCGGGTACGGCTCGTGTCTAAGCAGTCTCGAACGCGACCCGGCGACGGGTGAAGCCGCCTACGGACCTATATGGGACGATGAGACGGTCGGCTTCCGGACGGTGGAGGATTTCGGATGCGAGGACTGGGAGTGGCTGCTGCGGAGCCACGACTGGGCCAGTCTGCGTGCGTGCTGCGCTGCTATCGCGTCGCGTCTTTCGCTATGCACAGGCTGACGGACGTGGGTTTGCGCTAGATTCGTTGAAGCCATATGATTACTCCAAGGAATGCTGGCGCCACGTCCGCCAGGCTGCGACGTTGCGCAGATAAGTAGTGTCTGGGACAGTCGCACTTCTCTCTGCAATTCCCTTTTTCTTCCGGGCACGGTCGAGTCCTTTGCACCGGATCGTCCGTGAATTTCGTGCATTTCAGAAGGCTCGCGCGATCGCAGCTCCACTTATACTGACGATGCATTGACACAGGCAGATCGCATCGAAGCAACGACATAAAATGCAGCAACATCACGCGCAGTGTCTTTAACCCTGTCAGATTGAATGAACACTGACCAGCGGCCGTTGCTTTGCCTCTGACAGAACACTGAATGTAGCTGCTTGGAATACAGGCCACGTATGAACCCGCTGCGGACCAGGCGCCTCCCGCCAGTGCGTTTGCCGCATTAGCAGTGGCACACGGCCTAAGACCCCGACTCATAACGTACGTCCATGCCTTTTGCCACAATCTGTTCGCTTACACATTGACAGTGCAACAGTGCTACTGGACGACCGCGCTCGAGTCTTGTGCGCTGAACACTGTCAAGATCTGTTTCGGTGCGCCGCTCGAGTCGAAGCTATATGGATTATGTGGTCACGGTTCTGTGCTGGGACCGTCCAGCTGTCTGCAGTCAAAGCGCATCATTGCGGGCCACGTATGTTTGCGCGGTGGACAATGCTGGTCCAAGGGGCACATCCATGATGAGTGACTCGCATGCGCGCTGGTTTATTTCCCCCGCCTGTCCTGGTATATCACTTCTAACTTAGCTAACGCATTGACTGTGCGCTTTGCCCGTGGGCCGCCACCGCTTGACCCCGTCCTTCTCACCATTCGCCTTACACTGGCCAGCCCCCGCCCTGCTATATAACTGCGCAGGATGGGCAACTGCTATGCCAGCAACGAGTTCCCCAGCCCCTCGACCTGCGACCTCACCCTCCTCCCGCCTCTACACCTCTCACTCCACTGACTTCATCTCAAGTAGACTGTCAAAATGTCAACCCAAGCGAACGTTCCCCGTAACAGGCCCCCTCCTTACGACACCTTGCCGGTTATGTTGCCAGATGACCGCCCGAAATACCGCGGAATGGAGTTTGTCCCACAGCGCCCAGTACTGGTGCGGGGGCTCACGCAGGCCCTCAGGAAGCCGATCAAGTTTGATACAGGACTCCAGCCCGACAAACTATCCCGCAGGCTGCGTTTGGGTTCACTCTCACCACGATCCACAAACACGCTTGTCCAATATATGACGGACTATTCAGATGATTCAGATGATTCTATGCACCACCACATGAACGGCCAGCTGCACAAAATCTGGCTCGTGATCACGGTACGCCCCCCTCCCTGCCTATGCGCCGCCCGAATAGACCTGCTCACGTTACTCCGGTACAGTGGCCGGGATACGGCGACCATTGGGTGCAGATCGAGATCGACGGGACACAGCGCGATCCTCGCCGGGTTCGCGCCAGGCTGTTAATCGATATTGCTGAACAGTACCGACTCTTCTTGACAGTGAGTTTTCAGAGTCATGTACGGCTGTCTCGTCTGCCGCTCTGCTGACATATGCATGTCGCGGTTTGCAGACGATGCACTTGGACAAGCGGAAGGGCACCAACAAAAAGTGGTGCCAGGCGAATCGTTGCATCATTGACTACCTGGCAGCACCTCTGCTGAGACATTGCGGCCAAGACGTGTGCGGCCAAGACGTGTACCAGGCCGACATCTACTATGATGAGGCGGGGGCGGGAATGTTCACGTAATGTGGTGTTTGCGGAATCGTACACGTCGCGCCTTCGAGTTATGTAGTACCATGAATGCCAGCTACGCAAGTCTACTTTGTTTTGATAAAACCCGAGTACGACCGCCGAGCCCTATATGCATCGATGTCGTTATTGGAATCCCACTAGTGAGTTAACTTGCCATTGGCTACGAGTGAACACAGGCTGGTTTTCTGACGCATGGTGCACTCCGGCCACAGACGGTTCGCAAGGCTGCTTCGATCTGCCCCCGTATGTGCCCTTGAACGGTGTAAAATGGCGTTTATGCGCCCAGTGTCCACACGCGGCTTTCACGAGACCCCGTATCGTGTACGGCTACTCCCACACCGGATACGTTTCTCCGGGTCCTAGCGACAGCGATCTCTCTCATACTGCCCGAGAAACATGTCCGCTGACTCCGCGCCCACAATGCCACTACGTAGGCGACGCCGCCGCCTTCTTCCTGCGGGTGCAGTTGCAGACCGCTTGCAATAGGCTGCGCAGGACGCAGGAAGGATAAAACAAGGCCCGTCGCGTGTCTACTCAATAACGCACACATCTCCGTTTACTGTCTGCGATGCAGGCCCTCGATCCCGAACTCGCTGCTCTCCTGCCGACCGCGCCGACCGCTGGCGCTGAGGGACCACAGCCCACGCCGACGATTGCTGAAGCGCGTGCGCAGTGTGAACAATACGTGATCGCGCCGCACAAGGCATACCAAGAGCCGCTCCTTCCTCCGAGTGAGTTCCCGCACGCGAGAGGCTGCGTCGGAATTGGGTGCTTATAATCTCTCGCAGAATCTGCATACACATTGCGGGACGAGGCGGTGGCGGTGGCGGGCGGGGAGATCGTCGTCCGGTGTGTCGTTCCCGTCGTGGAGGACAGCGACGCGACGTTCCCGGTGCTCGTCAATATACATGGTGGAGGTAAGCACGCCGCGAGCGTGGGCGAGTTCTTTGCATGTTCGGAGGCTGACAGTGTGCGCAGGCTGGAGCGTCGGCAGCATCGAGATCGACGACTACTTCCTGCGCAAGCTGAGCGTCGATCTTAAACTGACTACTGTGAATGTTGCCTACCGGTAAGCTTAAGCGGGAGAATCCATAAACGCCTAGAGCTGACCTACGTTATCCCTGTAGTCTCGCGCCGGAGCACCCCTTCCCAAGCGCGGTCGACGACTGTCTCACCGCGCTCAAATGGGCAAGTCGACCCCGATTCTCCCTGCACATCCGAGTCTTCAAGCTCATCTTCCTCACCTCACGCCCCCCAGGTGGTCCAACACCAGGCCCTCCTCAAAGCAGATCTCACCAAGGGCTTCCTCGTCGGCGGGCAGTCCGCCGGCGCGAACCTCGCCGCGGTGCTCGCGCACGAGGCGCGCGACGACCCCTTCTTTGCAGGGCCTGGAAGGCAGCTCACCGGCCAGGTCGTCCGTGAGCCCATGGTCATCCACCCAGACGTGTACCCCGACGAGTGAGCGGCGTCCCCCGCTACCTGCCGCTCGCGTGCTGACCGCGTGCTGGCACGCACAGACTGAAGCCCGCGATGCGCTCGATGGCGGAGGACGCTGACCCCGGGCTCCCGCGTACCATGGTCGACCTGCTCATCAGTGCGTGCCTCCTCCCCCGTACGCAGATGACTTCAACTTCTGATCTGGGGCGCAGACTTCTACAGCCCGGTCCCGGAAGACCCGCGCTTCTCGCCGCTGCTGTACGCGTCGCACGTGGGTGTCCCGCGCGCGTTCGTGCAGGGCATGGGCCGCGACCCCGTGCGCGACGATGCGCGCGCGTACGCGGCCGCGCTGCGCGCCGCGGGCGTTGCGGTGCGCCATATAGAGTGCGCCATATGCTCCTACATATTTGTATATCAGTGCGGGGATGCTGACGGGCGCGCAGGTACGCGGGTGTGACGCACGGGTTCCATTACAGCTACCCTGCGATTAGCGCCGCGGTGCGGGTGCGCGCGGAGCTCGTGGAGGGTATCCGTTGGTTGCTCGAGGAGGGGGCGTAGGGCGCGGTAGATGTCCACGAGGAGCGCCGCGTATCGGGAACTCGACCGGACGAAGTCAGTCGATAGTGTACAGCGCTAGCATCACATCGATTCACGCGCCACGTGTAGGAGTGAGGATGATGCAATTGCTGGATGCTGTCCGAGCTGTGACTACGACATGCGTCGGTTGAAACATCCGCTCGACGTAGCATCTCAAGCGAGTGCATCTGCCTCTCGGGGCAACCCCGGGTATAGACTATCTGTAACAGGCGTTCAGCAATCCGCGCGCAACGAAGGCACGTCAATGACTCACTGAGCTCGCCCCAATCGTGGTATCTCAACAGCCACTCCCAGTCCTCGCACCCGAAGTCTTCGACTTCGCGGAACCTGACCTTCGCGTCCGACCACCGCGGCGAGTACGCAGGCAGACCGGTCTCGGGGTCACGCTCGATCCAGCGCAGATGCGGGCCGTACCCTACCAGCTCGAGCGGCGCAGGATGGTCCTCGAGCAGCTGCTGCTTGAGGTCGAGTGTCCGATGGTTGTCCAGGATGTGCAGGTACCGCAAAGACTCGCGTTTCCGGAACTGTGAGATGGCTTGAGCGGTGTGATCGAGTCCGATAGCAAAAAGAAACCTACCACATCCATCCACTCGCGCGCAGACACGTCGTTGATCTCGAAGTCGAAGTGGATGAGAAGCGCCGTCAGACCGAGCGGGAGCTTCCCGTCGAGCCGCTTCAGCTTCTCGCTAGTGAACTCGTATCCGGAGAGCGATACGCCGAGAACCTCGAGCTCCGGAAGCTCGGGCAGCAGCTCGAAGAACTGCGGGTACACGCCCGCGTCGGCGGGGTCCATGTTCAAGTCGACGTCCAACCGCCGCAGATGCTTCTTGTTCGTGAGGAAGTCCGAGACGTCGGACGGGTACCGGTTGAAGCTGTCGCCGTGCATCACAAGCTTGAACGACCGCAGGTTCGGCAGCGCCTTGGGGTCCGAGTCGAACGCCGCGTTCAGGTACTTTTCCACCCAGAGGTTGTCGAGGACGAGCGAGAGCGACTGGAGCTGCGGGCTGCAGTGGCGCAGGACAAGCCCGATCGCGCCCAGGTTTTCCGGCTCCTGTATGACGAGCTCGCGCAGGTACGCGAAGGGTCGCACGGGCAGCGCCCAGATCGCTTCGCCGCCGACGTGCAAAGACCGGAGCTTGCGCATCTCGGCGACCTTCTCGATACAGGCGCGGGCGGCCCAGTTGTCGCCGCGTGCGGGGGTGTCTTCGTAAGGCTCCTTCACTAACACCAGCTTCTCGAGTTTGGTGAATTTTGCGAAGAAGGCGGGACCCAGCCAGTTGCGTCCGCCCAAAACTCTGTCGGATTGGTCAGAATGCGGTTGTTACAGAGGGAAGGAAATCTAAATTCTTACGGCGCACGGAACTCGGTCAATACCGAGCCGCAAGTGTTCGCCAGCGCATCAATAGTTTCGGGCTGTAACAGCGGGAACATGCCGTGGTAGACGAACGACGTCAAACTGGGCAGCGATTCGAGGGTCTCGATGAGACAATCTGAAGTTCCGATGTCAGCGGGCCAATAAAATCGTATCAGGAGTTACAGAGCTTACGACGCTCATATGTACCCGTCCCGGCGGGGACGTGAGCTCGAACAGACAGCTTCTTGATCAGCTTTGCGAATTCAGCGTCGCGCCGGATGTAGCGCATGATCTCCCAGCTGCTCGTGCTGAGTTGATCGATCTCATTCAAGTATGCCGCCGCTGCGGCATCGTCCTTGTGTTCCGCCCCAAATGGTCTCCATAGGCCAAATAGTATGGTTACATGGGAAAACAGACGGGCGCGAGCAACGTTGCCGAGAACTCGCGATGCGAAGAGACACGTCTTTTGGTCTTCTTTAGGCAGTAATTCGACGACCAGGCCCCAGATTTCAAGTGGAAGTCGGAGCTGACCGTCCATAGTCCTGCCGAGAGAATAAGAACTCCAGGCTTACCTGTACCTGTGGATAGTGGGGGTATGGGCGACACTCGGGGCGAGACGAAAGCGTTGCGCTTGCAAGCGTTGCGGTTACGGTTGAGGCCCGTGCATCGCGGTGGCGGTGCACAGTGGGAGGCCCCCAGGGACCCGCCGTGTAGGGGTTGCAGGCGCCCACCTGATACTTACTCTGATACCATGGCAGGCGCTATCCTGAGGTAGAATCTTCAAAGAACAGGATCGACCTAATTTTTCAGTGTAAAACATACGCAGGACAGGTGTGGAATACACCCTAAGATTCTTTCCAAACCACCGGATTGCTCCAGTCCCACGTTATGTAATCATATTGCTAAAACATCCTCACTGCACTGGCCGCTATCGTACTAACGACAACCTAGTTCACCATCCCTCTCACCAGGCCGATCGATAATAGTCTAACAGGTACATTTACTTACAAAGCTACCAGCCAAACCGACGCGGCGTCATGTCTACAAGTGGGTCGATGTCCCATGATACGGGCAACGGCGGTAAGTATTCCTCTTATGCATTCTTTCGACCGCATGGACACATTGCTGATCTGTCTGAGATTGGACGAAGACCCGGATCTTCATGCATCAAGACTGCAGAAGACTGTGCCGCCAGGTGTCTCCCGTAAAAGGGCCAAGAAAACTCTACACGATCTCCCGAACATGCCGATCGACATTTTGTTCGAGGTAGATTCCAACGTCCTTCATTTCCCGCCGCGCGTGCTCATTGATTCGGGTAGATATTCTCCAAGCTCACTCCCCGAGACCTATTGAGCATTTCCAGGACGACAAAATCCTTCAGACAGCTGCTTCTCAGTCGTCAGGCGGCGACAGTATGGAAGGCTGCCCGCCTTGCTACGCCACCGTTCTTGGAGCGTCCGAGCGACGTCTCTGAACCCTACTGGGCGAACCTCGTGTACGGAAAAAGCTTCTGCCAGGTCTGCGGGTCCAGCGCGAACAAAAAGCGCGTATTCTTCGAATTGCGGCGCAGGCTTTGTGCCTCTTGCATGGAGAGCCAGTATGCCTACCATAATCCTCACCACGCACAGCCTGGCAGCTCATGAGATGCGTTTCAACAGCTGCGTCACGCCGCCTAGAAACATCAATCAGCCACCCGAGTTTGACGTGACGGCACTGGAACTTCTTCCGTATGTCATGTGTACGTATTTCCAACCTTGAACGTTTCCTGCCAAGTTCTCATGCATAGAACAGACGTCGTAGGTCTGAGGAAGCGGCGTCATTTCTGGAGAGAGGACGTCGAACGTGTAACTTTAGAATTGAAGCGCCTTCGGGAAGACATCGAGCAGAAGAAGCCTGGCGCAGTAGAGGCTCTCGAAAACTATAAACAAGCTCAAGCCGCACAAACGCTTGCTATCATGGAGGTGCGTCCCGTAAAGGTACGCTCGCATCGCGTGCACTGAATGCGACGCTTGTAGCACTCTGCGGAATGCCGTCGTGTACTTCAACCGGTCAACCCCAAGATGCGTCTAGCACAGCGGCGCATCTGACATACCCATTTGCGGAAAGAGCCCGCGAGGCGGGAGCACGCGCCCGTACCGCCCGCACTCCCTTCGCGCCGCTCACTATATGTTCCTCTCGTTCCTGTGGCCATTGCCCGCCGCGACGGCTGTCTCCTTGCACTGAGCCTTGACGACGCCTCGACAGGCCCTCTTCGCCTCTCGCCTTCCTAAATTCCGCTTTCCCATTCTTTTACTTTTCCGTCTTTCCTGAACTTCCTCGTATATGAACCTCGCATGTATCTACTCAAACCCGTAGTCTTTCGCTACGACAACTTGCCTATTCAACCTCGTGGCTCTCGACTCACCTGTTTCCCGGCCGTCTCGCTCGACTCGCCGCCTCAATGGATCGCAGTGCGTACCGTTCCGATATAACGCTGATGTTCAGCTTTTTAGGACCGCGTTCGGGTGAGTGTCTGTCCCGCGGCTCGTATACGTATCCCACGCACTGATTTTTCACTTTCTAGAGTTGCTGCATCCAAACGAGAGTGAATAGCCCAGACAACAAACGTAACGTTGTGCATCGACTTTGAAAGGTACAAACTTTCAGGAATCGCCGCTTCTATATTGCTGATCAACGCAAACGCAACCTCAACGCCGTGGTACGTGAGGCTCCGACCGCGACTGAATGGTGCAACACGTGAGAGATTTATTTCTAGATAGGACGAGGCCCAATGCATCAATCTTGTAAAAGAAAAAGAGCTAGATCATACGGCGTGTCGCCTAAAGGAGGACAGGGGCATAGCCTGAGCTATGTACGTTACCGCCCCCAGTGTCTGCGCCTTCTAATGCTGCTGCTACAACATGAGCGCGTCTGCAACCATCATGAGAACCTAAGCGATGTTCCACAGACTCTCAAGAGGTTTCTCCTGCAGGAGCCACGCCCAATCCTCGCACTCTAAATTCGCTATCTCCTCATCACGTAGAGGAGGAGCGTACACAGGCGTGCCACTGTATGCATCGCGCTCAACGCGACGCAGCACCGCGTCGCATCCGACAAGCTGCAGTGAGCCAATATGCTCGAGGAGTATTTGATCGAAATCGTAAATCCTTTTGTCGAACTGGATGCCTGGCAGGAAATGAAGATATCGGAGGTGGCGCCGTTGCAGCTGTGACAGTGGAGGATCTGTATGTCTCAGCGCTCGACAAGAAAGACAACATCGGGACCGACCATGTGGAGCCAGTCCTACGGCTGTGTGTTCGTATCCCGACAGCTCTCCATGCACAACATCAGGTTTGACAGGCCAACCGGGAGGGATTCGTCGAGAGCCCGCAAGTCGTCCTGCGCGAATTTGCCGCCACAGTCCAAGTGGATGCCAAGCGTGCGTAGCTGTGGCAACTCCGGCAGCAGCTCCAAGACGGGACGCAGACCGGATACATCATGCATGTGCAGCATCACGCTGACATCAAACCGCACGAGCCTGCGTTTGTCCCGGAGAAACGACGAGAGCGCGACGACGCCCGAGCGCGACGCCTTCGCGGACAAAAGCAGTTTGAACGATGTGAGGTTTGGGAGAATGGCCGGGGAGTTGCCGAAAATACTCAAGACCGGATCAGCGTCCCCATGTGCGTAAAAGGACGGGAATGAGAGAACGATTGAGAGTGATTGCAGAGAGGAACCAGGGTAGAGAAGCGGAACAACCCGAGGGTGGATTAGCAAGGCAGGACCGCGGAGAGTAAACTCGCAGAGCATGTCGCTGTCAGCGGCGACGACAGCGTCATGGGCCACCGCTGTGGGCATGTCGTCGTCGCCATCTAATTCGAGGCGGCGTATGTTCGTGAAGCATGGCAAAGATAGGTCAGTGTAATAAGAAACGCTAGCACAACGCAACAAGTTGAGCTCTTGTCGACATATAGAACATGCGTTGGCACGTACGGAATGCGCAGTGATACGATTGTGTGTCCAGATCCTTTCACAAGGTGTTCCCACAGCACAGGGGGTAGAGGGGGGCGCAGACTGATCCAGGTCAATGATTCCAGGTCGGATAAACATTTAAAAGCATCCTCGAGGATACCTACGTTAATTTCATCTCAATGAGTCACGTATACCGTATAAAACCGAATTAAACCGTGTAAAAACTTACGAATATCAGGGTTCAGCCGAGAGTGCGCGCGGGCGCGAACAGTAATTGTGCGGACGATCTGCGCGAACTCGATGTTCCGCCCAATATGCCGCAGGATCTCCCGTGTACGCTCAGCCTGTTCCGATCTCGCAGTCATCTGCTGGGCGGTCAACCTATCCGCGGGGCATACATCGAAGTCGACTCAAAAGTAGATCGTGACGTGGCGGAAGAGGGGATGTTGTGCGATATCATGGAAGAACCGCGAAAGCTGAAAGCAAGTCCTCTGATCTTCTCTGGACAGCGAACGTATGATTTTGTGCCAGAGAGAGAGTGTGTGCGATGCTCGGGTGGAAGTACCAGATGTGAACATCCGTTTGAAGCCGTGGCCATCGGTTCACCCAAGTACCCCCTGATACGTGTTTCTACACCCAACACAATCTTTTCAATACGGGAATAGCAAACTCAGCGATATCAGACTCACCTCGATTTCGTCAAGTAACAGGGGTCTCTGAGCTCTACTATAAAACACCTGACTGACGCTACGAGTTCCCAGGTGGTGGTTGAGAACAAGAAGCCGTGGGAACCTCAACGTACGCAAACGCCCGCACTATATGCACATGTACTGTAGATGTACACCTGCAACAGACGAAGACTTAAGGCGGTTTAAAACATGCGCGTTGACCGACGTACCCTAGTATACACACATCCATACAGCACTACACGTAAACAAGATCATAAAGTCCCTTCGTACAAAACACGCTCTCCGATTTCAGATCGCAAACAGCTCCGTATGCAATCCGACACCTCCCAGCTCGACACCGCGCGTCAGCCCAATCCGCGCAACCGCGTTCTGCGCCTCGCGCGTGAGCGACTCCGGGCCCGCCGCGCACACCGCGACCCCACCCCCGAGCCCCACCCAGCTCAACCGCGCCGACGCGGACGGCTTCTCCGCCTCTGCCTCGGTGTCCGCGCCCTCGTGCGACTCGCTCTCGAGCGACTTGGAGTCCGCGTCCGCGCGCATCGCGACCGTGTGCGCGTGCGGGGCGGGCGGGGTGACGAGGTCGCGGAGGAGCGCGGTCACGGACGGGCGCGTGATCGTGACGTCCGAGTTCGGGATCGGGGGGATCGCCTCGGGGTTGCAGAGGCAGGTGACGTAGATGGAGACGTGCAGGTCGAGCGACGTGCCCGCGACCGTGTTCGCGATCTCCGTGAGCATCGGCGCGAACCACTCGATGGCGCCTAAGGAGAGAACGGTATGAGTTTCGCCGAGCAGAGGACGGTGAGCATGCGCTGCTTACCGAATGACCGGATGCACCACACAAACTCGATGCGGCGCGTCTTCTCCCCGTTCCGCCGACCGAGCTTTACGCAGCGCGCAACGATGTCGTCGAGAAGACCGAGGGTGAATGTTGCACCCGAGCCGCCGGCGACGAGCAGCACGCTTTCGTAGTCCCCGAGGTCGACGCTGGACCCGCCGTAGGGCCCGTCCAGCATGACCTGCACCGGTACGCCGGGCTGCTCGCCCTTCTCCATGACGAGGCGCTCCTGTTCCTTGCTCGCGTACTCGTTGATCGCGCGGGTCCAGTCACCGTGGACGCGCGCGGCAAGCGTGAGCGAGTTGCCGGAGAGGCATGATGTCGCTGCAGGTGCGTTGATAATAGTGAGAGGGTGCGACTCGAAGACGCGGCCTGAGAAGAAAACCCGGAGGCGGACGTGCTGGCCGGCGACCCATCCATCGTTGCAGTCGTGAACATGGATCTGTATAACACCGTTAGCATATTAGATAGAAAGTCGAAGTACTATGAGCTCACCAGGGTCATGTTGCCGTCGACGGGGACAAGTGTCGCATCCTTGATGCGGTAACGGAACAGACGCAGGAGCATGTCGAATCCATAGAATGCCAATGGCGGGAAGATCCACGGAGCAGCGTAGGTGGTGTGGTAGCAGATGGTGATGAAGAAAGCAACATAGCCAAGCACGCTGGAAAAAGCTGTTAGCTAGGTCGATCCTGACAGTACGTGGAGGACTTACTGGACGATGAAGAACGACTGGTAGAAGAGGCGCCGTATGGGTCGGAAAGACGTGAGCACAATGACGCACAGCACGCCGAAAGCGGCGACACCGGAAGTCTCCTTCTGTTGACCGAGGATAGGGAGGTCATACACAAGGTGGTTGTTGATCCAGATGGCACCGTGTACTGCGGAGCCGATAAACATGCCTCTACCAGACCAACGGTGAATGTAGTTGAGCTTCTCGTAGCCGTGGCCAGGGCCAAGGAGGAGCGAGAGGATGGAGTTCTTCGTCCCAAAGAGGAACACGACGGGGAACTGCGCGAGCGCAAGGAAGCCGGCTCTGTTGGGGTTGTCCGTTAGAGGGACGTTCATCGTGATGCAAACAATCAGGACAGCAAGGTATGCTGCGATCACGACCACTGAAAGCGCAATATGTTCAGCGTAGGAATACGGATGTGTGTAGACAGACGCTTACTCTGTCCGATATCCAGCTCGATGCCCGGTAAGCTCCAGAGGGAGACCGAACCCAATGTCTCGAGCAGGCCAAAGACCCTGCGCTTTGACTTTGGTGGGACGACGTCGTTACCCACTGCAGGAGTGTAATTCCGGCCCTCGGAGACGCCGAAGAGCCATCCGCGGAATAGCCGACCTCGCCTGAGGGCACGGAAGACCTGAGGAGCGGCGGCGAGCACGGCGATGCCGACACCCGCGGCCCAGATGATGGAGAATTTACGCTGCCATTTGGGATCCTCGACGTAGGAGCTGCGTTCGTTGATTAGCACGAGCACGGAAAAGTTGGCTGCGGTGGGGAGCGCACTTGTACTGCTGCAGCTCGGTAGGGATCACAGGCGCGGCCCCGTAAGACATGATGGAGGTCGTAAGACTTCAAGCTTGGTAGCGAGCCTGAATGTCGAGGGTAGGGCGGCCTGGCTTGCGGGGGGACTTGCAAGCAGATGGTGGACGTCGCCTTGAGAGCCGTCGCTGCAGATATCTCTGTCTCCTTCTTTCACCATTGTTTGGTTCGAACAAACACAAGCAGAATAATTATTTCACAGCAAGCGCCTGTAACCACACCCGTGCGTCGGCCATCGCGCTCATCCATTCTGAGTACTCCTGACAGTGACGGTACTCAAACCCTCCTATAGCAGCTGTCTCATTCGTTTGTCCTCTCGGCCCCCTCGGCCTGTGCCTCCCAACCACCCGTCGCCCACCCCAGTCCTCACGCGCGCCCTTCCGCGACCTCCGCCCTCAACACCGCCCGTGCCTCCATCAACGCCCTCCCCAGCAAATTCAGCCCCCACGCCTCCCGATCCACCCTCTCCGCGCCCGCCCTCCCGAACCCGATACCCCAGATCCTGTCGCGTGGGCTCGCCTCGACGAGCTCCCGCCCGCCCGTCGCGAGCAGCTCGCCGCGTATCCCCGCATGCTGCCGGAACTTGTGCAGCGTGCCCTCGCGCACGATGCGCACGCGCTCGCGCGTCCACACCGCGTCCTCGAACCCCTGCACCTTCCGTCCGAGCGACTTGCACTCCTTTGCGCTCGGGTACCGCGTGCGCGGGCGTGCCTTCGCGACGGGCGCGACGGCTGTAGGCTTGTGGCTGCTGCGCGTGCGGCGCGCCGGGCCCCCAGGAGTCGAGGGAGCGGGCTCCGCAGTCGTTGGGGGTGCCTGCGCGGGCGCGGAGGAGGGGATGATGCACTCAAAGATGGCCTGGTCTTCGAACAGGAGCGCCTTCTGGGCCATCATCCAGTGCTCTGCGGTCGGGAAGACGGCCTCGCGCTCCTCGCCGCTCGGGAGGGTGACGCGCGCGGTGAAGGGGGAGTGGTACCACTGCGACGCCCATCCGTACTCCTGTTCCGGCTTCCAGAAATATACTGGCAGATCTGCATCCGGGTGAAGTTCTGTCTGCTCTGTCTTCGACATCGTGTACGGCGGGTTGTCGTTAAAGATAGGTGCACCATAGACAGACGGAGCAGCCATATGAAGGGCTCTCCGGAGTCATACATGCATGACAGTCTGGTGGCGGACGGCGGCACCGCAATGAATGGCATAGCACCGATGACAGCACCCAAGTCATGACATGACACCAGCATGTCTACCATACAAGAACATTTCCAGAGATAACTCGTGAGCGACGTGAGAAGCTACTAGTACAACGCAGCATAGTGTCCGTCGTGATCCAAATAAGCAAGAAAGGAGGCGTAACGGCGGTGAAGTTTTCATCAATGCATCGCGGCATGGCTAGCGAACCGCCCAAACATCGTCTCCCCGACGCCCAGACCGATCACCAGCGATAGGATGAAGCTGGCTTGGAACGTCCTGCACACACATGTTAGCGCACAGCCCCGAGCTTGACAGGGATGGACTTACATGACGATGAGCATGAAGATGAACTGGATAGCAACCTGGACGGCGTGCAGCAGGCCCCTCGCGACGTCGTGCGCCCAGCTGAACGGAGGGGCGTTACGGAGCGTTACTGTGTCGCGGACGCGAGTGGAGCTAAGGGTAGCCTTCTCGGTAGACGTCGTGGTCGGCAAGTTGATTCTGTCTGCCTGGGCGATTTGAGCTCTAAAGAGACAGGTCAGTGCATGCGCAGATGGCGATGATGAAGGGCGAGGCACGAAGGTACACAAATATACGCTGTGTATGATCGACGAAGAAAACGCTGTACCCACCTCTTTCGCCAGTGTGCTTCCATAACACCTCTGCATGCCGCAATCCAGCGCTCCACGAGCGCAAATAAGAAGAGCCCGATGCAAGTTCCCACCATCGCGCCCTTGCTAGACGGCACCCATCCGTAGAATAGCACGATGTCGCCCGGAGTGAAGTGGAGGTACGGAAGCATCTGGCCTGCTTCGAGGTCCATGGCGCCGTCCATGGTCATATCCATGCCATTGCTGTGAGCCTTGACCGAGGCGGCCAAGGCTGCAAGAAGTGCCGCAAGCAACGGGATGAGAGAGATTTGACGGAAAGACATGGCCGCACGGTGTTGGCAGGGGACGGTGGAGGAGACTGGACGGCGTCGTGGTGATAAGACCTTTTGCCTGGGCTTACGTAACGCGACCAAACAAGAGTAATCTAACCGGAGAGCGCCCGTCCTTTGAATGCAAGTGAACGCATCCGTTCTGCAGGTTCACCGCCGTGGAGGCAGGCCTGGTTTCCTTGCCGACAACTAATAATTGACGGGCCAAGAGGCCGTACCGTGGGCTGATATAGAGGACGGAGTGAATCCTGTGGGAGTCCAGTATTTGGAGGCACCAGCGTGCGCAGCGAGACCAACGGCCTTCAGCGCTATCCAAGCTGATCGCGATGGCGTTTCGGTTCCCGAGTCAAATGCGGCGTGAGAGGCGTTCACCGAGTAAAGACGGCAACAACACGAGACCGTCAGCCAAGGTCATATATGCTGAGCAGTCGGCCAAGGTCGGGACGAGAGCTGCGGCGGGTGGTCGCCAGGATGCCCGCGGTCCGGACGATAGGGCAGGCACACGTACATGCAGCGGGATTGTTGGCATGGCCATGGAGACCGCCGGGCTGGCCGAGTGAACCGTATACATGGTTTAGGAGGCGTTCGTTGTGGTCCGCCCGGTCGACACACGGGTCAATGATAGCGCATAACCAGTGACCTTGAGACGGCAGCGCAGGTCGCCAGGGCATAGACGGAAGCCAGGGCAAGTATCGTTGAGATGTGGGAGGATGCGGGCGCTTGTTAGTCGAAGGAGGCGCTGATGATGAGAGCCCAACGACAAAGCAGAGGCAAAGAGAGCAACCCAGCATTAGCGAGTGGCAGCGTGGGGACCCGTCATGCGCCAGATATGTGGAGAGTGACAGGAATATGGTCTGCTGGGGTAATAAGAGCCTGACGCCGGGCTTCGCGAGGGTATCCTCCCACCCGGCGCACGACAGTCGTACGACGACGCACCTGAAGAACGATCGCGACCATGGCCATGCATTCACTAAAGCGCAGTTCCGTCCCAAAAATCATCTCTCCAGCGATGTCCGCGGTCCAGTCTATCCCACTGACAGTTCACTTTGGGTGGGACCACGTAAGTGTGGTCAACGGGCAGATCGGAGACGCTGTAGAGCTTGTTGAGGATACCTCCCACTCGACAGCGTTCCTAGAGGGTTCCTAGTAGTAGCATGTGCGTTTCGAAGCAAGAGAGGACAAGAGGGCATGAGGGAGAGGAGGTTGAGAAGAAAGGCGCGGGATGACAGCGACGTCGAGGTTGGGGGAAGAGTTGCAGATGCGGCATTTTGGCGGTTGAGGCATTTCCGTGATTGGCTGGCCGATTGATCAGGCGGAGTGTTGGAAGCAATATCGGAGACTCAAAAAGCGAAAGGCATATTAGAACGCGATAGACTCCGCCCCAATGACTTCATCGCCGGCAACGTGGACCGAGCAGCCCGAAAACGTCAGGCTCCTCGTCGTGGGCAGCGCGCTACGCATGCTGCTCGCCGTCCCCCATGTCCTCTAGCCACCCCTCACAGCCTTCCTCACGTCCGCCGAAGTGGAGATCGTCGCTCTCAAATCCGAAGAGACAGCGTCCAGCAACCAGCCTATCTCTTGTCTTTGCGCAGCCCGAACAGGGCTCGAAACTTGCAGCCGCCATCGACCACTTGCCCGCAGCAGCGGGCATTGACGACGCCGCTAGCTTCATGAGCGAGGCGTCGAGGAAACGTGAACGGACACTCTCACAAGCGTCGAGTTTTATAACTCAACCCGAACGCCGAGTAGAAGAGAATGTGCAGCGTCACATTGAACAACAAGAAGCTGCGGTTGCCTCGCGCAAGCGGTCGAAGCTGAGCTTGGATGTTCCTGAGAGCGCAGACCTCTCATCGATGCAGACACCACCTGTGAATACTGAAGGTGCGTTCCAACTTTCCTTCTTGCGGCCTAAGCACCCAGCTTACCTCTGTCTAGGTTCTGTGACAAATCCGATCGTGCTCGCCGAGTCTCCTCAATCGTCTTTTCCTTTGTCAGAGCCTGCCGTCTCTATGAACGAAGCGAAGGACGATGAAGGGTCGACACTGGCTTTGCCGAAGCTTGCCGTCCCATTCCCTAGCTCTGAGCCACAGAAGACCATCCGAGCGACGAGGTCCACCCCCGTGCGGTCGTCCTGGTTCGGCTTCTCGCGAGCGAAGGATGACGAGTCTCCTGCGTACTCGGATGACACCGACGTGGCGTCAACATCAGCTGCCACCGGACCCTCTACGCAGTCGGAACAGCCTGTGTCTCCACCGCCTGGTGCCGCGGATTCCTCCCACACTCCTTCCACAACAGCTACTCCGCCTCAGTCCATACCATTGAGTGTGAACCCTGTTTCGCCTATGTCATTCACCCCGACGCAGTATTCTCCTCCCAATCACCACATCAACAGTAATGCCACCTCGATCTCGTCGGTGGATGAGGAAGTTCCTAGGCCGCGATTCACAAGTCTAGACAGCACTACGAGCACACTAGCTGTCCCGCAAGTAGTCGTCCAATCCGAGGGTGCGAAGACTGCGGAGAGGAAGCCGTCCATATCATCATTGAATCCGTCGACGAGCCGCTTCATGCTCAAGCTGCCTCTTCTCGGAAGACCGAAGATTCCGCTGGAGCAGGCCGTTGCGACAGCTCAGTCCGAGGACATTCGGGACCCAGCAGATCACCCAACTACGGTAGACGACCATGCAGGCGGTAAGGTTAGCGTTTCGACGATCAGAGTCTTAACTAACTAGGAGACCTAGTGGCCAGCGAGGCACCTGCTGAATCGTCGACCGCTGTTGACAGCCAGGAAACCCTCACGCAGCCACCTCCCATTGGGCAAACCGACACAGCACAAGCGTCTTCAGCTCAGAGCGCAGATGCGACGGGAGCGTCTAACGGCGGCCAGAACACCCACAGCCCACGCGCTGCCTCATGGTGGGACTATGTTGGGTGGGGTGGTGCTAATTCGGAAGATCACGTCAAGACGTCCGAGGACAGCAAGGAGACCGTGGACTCGCAAGATAGCGTGCAAACCGAGAGCGGACCGTCCGCCGCTGTAGACTCTTCCGCAGTACGGCTCCCCGACGCATCCACCACCGTAGAAGTTTCCGCAGCACCTCCGGCGGACGCCTCCGCGGCCATATCCGAGAACGCCACTCCACCGACGCGTACCGACACGGCGGCAGCGCCACAGGCCGGTCAGACGGCTGCAAAGCCGTCGTCTGTGTTTTCTTCAGACACTGTCAAGAGTCACGGGTCGACGTGGTACTCGCCATGGGCATGGTACGGTACCTCACCGACAACGGCTTTGAGCCCTCAAGGCGAGCCTGGCAACGTCGCAGACCAACCTTCTGCCGACTCAGAAGAAAGTCCCAAGACGGAGTCTGAGTTGGTCAAGGAGGAGGCCCTCGCGAGGGAACAGCGCGAAGCGGAGGCAGCGTCGTCTGCTGAGTCAACCAAGCCTTCTCCGCCCGAGTCATCCGCGGGCGAAGCGACTCCTAAGGGCGTACTGGCCGCACCCAATTCTCTCAACCCTGTAGAGTCGTCCATCGCCAACAACAGATCAGGTTGGATGTCCTTTCTCATGTCGAAGACGTTGACCGTGAAGTCGGTGACGAACGAGAGTCACGACGAGCAGGCTGACGGGATGGAGGTGATGGAGATTGATGACGCGCCGCAAACGTCCGCAGCGATACCCATACCGACGGCTAACGATGTGCAGAGCGCGGGTGCCGCCTCCTCTATGAAGTCCTCGCTCGGCGTTTCTTCACCGATACCCTCGCCCACGCCGAAGTCCCCTTTGGGCAAGTCGCCTACCGGACCCCCTCCAAAGGAGCGCGAGCCGAGGAAGCCCGATCCCGCCGCGCCGCTCACCGAGAACGAGTCCATCAAGAGGGACACGACGAAGGGCGCCGCTCGGGCACCCTCCCCGACCCCATCCAAGGCCTCTGGGACGACCTCTCCGAACGGTGCGGCGCCTCCGCCTCCCAACTTCGTCCTACCCACCTGGGAGGACACGTTCCACTCCCCGCCGCGTTCCTACGTACCGCCGCGGAGCCAGGGCGCGAAGTCCAAACTGACGGGCGCCCTGTCCTTCGTCGCGGGGGCGCTCTTTTCCAAGGACGACAGCGCACCGGGGAAGAGTAGGGGGAAGGGCAAGGGCAAGGAGCGTGAGCCCCCTGCGCCAGCGCCCGAGTTCGTGCGGTTCGGGCGGGAACTACCGAAAGCATTCGACATCCTCGGGGAGCAGCTCAATCCGTACATGCTCAATGGTGGATGCAGGGTCGTCGTGATTGGGGTTGCTGGTTGGTCCCCAGGTAAGTGCCACGGCACAGCCGCCGACCGTTCGCTCGGGACGCGGCTTCTCTATCTTGTAATCTGGACGCCATCTGACTGTATTTTTCCGGGACGTCCAGGTGCGGTTACGCGGACGCTCGCGGGCGGGGTAAGTACCGGCACTTGAGTTGCGGTCGCACTCGGAGCACTGATGCTGATTGGGTTTTGTTCTATGTGGTGCAGCTGCCTTCCTCGAGCAGCAAGTTCGTGGACATGACCGCGCAGGCGCTTGAACGGTTCGCAGAGGAGAACAGCTTCAAGTTCAAGAAGATCACGCGGATGCCTCTCGAGGGCGACGGCACCATCCGTAAGAAGGTTCTAAGGTATGTTACCAATTCTCATTTCAATCGTCCCTCTCTCACAAACGCTCACCGACTCTCACAGAGTGTACAAGCACCTCATCAACAATGAGGAGTGGATGGAAGACCTGCACGCGGCCGACGTGATATTCGTGGCGAGCCACTCGCAGGGCGCCATTATCTCCACCCATCTCATCGACCGCTTGATCGAAGATGGGCACATTCTGACCTCGCGCAGCGTGGACGTCCTTGCGAAATCTGTAGCCTCAATAGCAGCGGGCGGTGCGGCCGCCGTGCCAGCCACCCAGGCACAGAAGGTATGCCTGCTCGCGCTGTGCGGCATCCACCTCGGGCCTCTGCGGTACCTCAAGACAAGCTCGCTACTGCAGCCGTACATTCAGGTATGCTTATTTATCAATGAAGGGGCGATAGTGCGGGGCCTGACGAGTTCTATCTGCAGTACGTGGAGAACCCGGCCGCCCGTGAACTTTTTGAGTTCCAGGTATGCGGCGCAATGTACTGGTGCACTTGGCGCCTATGCTGACCATGTGACAGGATACGGAGTCGAAGCTGTCGAAGAACTACGTCGGCGCGCTCAGAAACATCATGGATCACGGCGTATGTCACCGGCATTGCGAGTTAATTGTTAATGCTAATTTGCTTCCCCTGTAACAGGCTAAGGTCGTTTACGTCGCGTCCCTAAACGATCAAGTGGTCCCGATATATTCAGGACTGTTCACAGCTGCGTCGCATCCCAGGATCCTGCGCGCCTTGTACATCGATAATGATGCATACCAGTACGTGCCAGCGCCCCATGCATCTACCTGTCTGATACAATGTCTTGCCCGTCAGTTCGTCTGATTTTCTCTCCAACCTACTGATTCTTCTCATCCGCATTCTGAACGCGGGGCTCTCTGATCGCGGGCTGCTTGCTCATCTGTCCGAAGCAACCGCGGGCACGCTAAGCGGAGTTGGACATTCATCTGCCTATGAAGAACCAGCGACGTACTCGTAAGTGCCACCGGCGCAGCTGATATCTGACCGCTGTCTGACGGCGTCGTGTGGCAGCCTTGCGGTCAAATACTTTTTCATGACGAACGACGGCACTAACGCCGATGCGGAGCTCGTTATCAACCCTTTCAACGCCGTGGAGGAGCAGAACGACTACGAGGTGCGCTCATCGCCGTGTCTGCCGCAGTCATGGCACTAATTGATCACGGCGTTAGATCCCATGGTTGCTCCGTGATATGATTGCGGACAACAAGATCGCGCATTTCTTCGCGCGCGAGTTCTCCCAACTGCGGGACGCATTCGACGACTGGCAACCCAAGACGACCATTCTCCGGGATGTGAAGAAGAAGCTGCAACCGATCACGCGGATGTCGACTATTCAGCTGGCGCCCGGCCCTTCCTTGAGCAAACTCTGACGACACGACACGCACACGACCGGACATTAGCCACACACACACGCACGGACGCTTCGCCCACATGCTTTCTCACCCCGCACGCACGCCATATTTGTATCACATGTTGTAGAGTACATACCTTCCGTCATGTAGACTATCTGTTAGGGCACATACTTTCGGTTCCTTCTCACTTTCATTTCGTCATTTGGGCGGAGACCCCTACATCGTATTGGATAGATGTCGCACATTTAATCCCACACCAAGCATGATACATGATATTCGTCGTAATCTCAGTACCACAATTCCTCTATGTATCAGCGCTCCCTGCGCCGAGGTTGCCAAGTGGTCCATTCAACGGTATTCGGCGCCGCAGTCCCCGATGGTCATGATCATGCTCGCGCTGTTGGACTGCCTCTCGATCTGCTCTATCTCCGCCTTGTCGCGCTCGGTGAGCGCGAACGTGAAGACCCTGTTGTTGTCGTCGGCGTGGTCGGCGAGCCCCAGCCTCGCGCCTGATGATATCACATGAGTGGCGGCGCGAACGCGGAGCGCGAAGTCGATGCGGCACCTATGATCACTGCGCCGACGAACGGATGCTCGAGCACCCAGCGCACAGCAACGTTCGCGATGCTGACGTTGCCGTGGCGGTCGGCGATGCCCCGCAGGACACGCAAGAGGGCCTGGAACAGGTCCCAGGTCCCCCACGCCTTGAGGATGACGTCCAGGTACTGCGTCCGCGACATGAGAACGCAGGGCATGCGGGTACGGACAGGCAGGGACACTACCTTGCGCTGCGAAGGGTTGAGGCCGGCGTAGAGCTCGGGTTCGGGCTTGCCGAGCCAGTGGTCGGTGAGAAGGCCGCCACACTGACAGATTTAGCACCGTGATCCGGAGAAGATGTATACGCCTCACCAGTACGCCATAGGCGAGAACCTTAATGCCGTGCCTCTCGCAGATGTCATGCATGCCGTGGAGAGGACGAACGTCAATGATAGAGAACTGCGACACATACGGTGAGCGATGAGCGAGGCCTGACATCACCTGCGAGATGCACGGACCTGTACTTGGTTGGACACGATGCAGCCTGGGCCGAGGACAGTGCAGAGTTCGTCTGCCCGTCTGGTGTCGAAGTTGCACAGCCCGAGGTGTCGAATCTTGCCCTCCGAGCGGAGTTGGAGAAGGAGCTGCAGGGCGTTGATGTAGCTCCTGTCCTGGTAGTCCTGCCAGAAGAACTCGAAGCGCGACGTGAGGAACAGATGGGGCCGCTGACCGGAGCCCGAGGTCGTCCGCGCACCTGGAGAAGATCGATGCACTGCGTCTGCATCCGCATGCAACGTTCGTCAATTGCGGTCTTGACTGTGTCGTGCGACACTTCCATCGGATTGAAGACAGCCCACTTCGTGGCACCGAATGGGCGTTCTCCCTCAGGAAGGTTCTTGATGAATTGGCCCTGTCCACCATGCGAAAGGGGTCAACTATGGCGTAAAAGTAGCATCATATCACTCACGAAGAGGCTCTCCGCAGGACCATAGTGGTCCGCTGCCGTCAAGTTTAGTCAAGCGTGAACAGAAGAGTCGAGAAGAACATACCCTAGATGTTCGAGGAGGTCGAAATTGGAAGTTAGACACCTGCGCCGTGTACCTACACCAGACTTACCATGTCTGTAGGGTGCGGTCAATGTTGGGAAGATGGCGGGAGATGATACACCATGAAGATTCATACTTACCGAACGCTCCGTATCCTTTTGCGGTATAGCTTGCCATGGCATCGCGAACCTTCGGAGCAGGGGCGCTTCCCCATGCACTGCTGGATAGTTGCCACAGGCCGGTCCAGATCCGGGGAAGCGTAGTGTCCGGGGCAAGTGTGAAGCGCGTTTCTCCTTGCATGCTGAGCTCGAGGTACCGGGTCCGCTGAACCATGCTCCACTCGCTCTCGCATTCGTTTTATACACTCAAACTTGGCGTCGGCAAGTAAAGCATAACCGTGGCCTTGCTGCAACGACATGGTCGTTACAGCGGGATTTCTGTTGTACGCCGAGGCGGACGCCATGAGCGGGACTGCGTCGGACGACGGAATGCCCAAGTTGGTGGCACCGCCTTCGCAGGTGCCGCCCGCGCGCCGGCGAGCGCCAAGAATCAGCGCTCAGAAATTATCTGCAACCGGGGAAACAAGGGTTTCAATCAGCCATTCAGTACATGTGCGCAATTGAGCGAGAACTTAACATTTTTGCTTAATCGTAAAGTCAACTGATACACTGGTTCCACAGATCTCTTCGACCACGACCCTCGTATAAGAGGGAGCAGCCACATACCAGCGTTTTCCTCAGGGCGACCTCTCCATTGTCAAGATTCACCACTCCAACCACGGCGCGATGGTTGCTCCTCTTAGTGACCACCACGGAGGTTCCAGCGGGGCTAGTACGGGAGACGCCCGGCCAGTGCTGGGACATGTGTTAGTGCCGCCCGGAGAGCTCACAGGACGCCACAACTGACACCATACTCTCGCAGCAACCTCATGGTGGATACGCTCATCGCCAACGCTAACCTTGAAGAGTGAGTAAGTAGCCGCAGACGATGACACACTCACGAACCACCTTCATTTCCGTGCAGTCTACGCGCCATCGTTCGCGGCATGCTGGCCACGAGTCCTCCCTCGGTCGCCGCAGCGTTTACGTCCGCAGCACGCCAGCGACTCGTCCGCGTCCGGGCGGCGGAGGTCCCGGACACCACGGGTATTTTCGTCGCCGAATCTGGCGGGAACGCCGCCGCGCCGAGCGAGAAGCTGAAGGGCATTCTCCTTCGCGTTCGCACCCTCTACGGGTCGGGGATGGGCTTTGCAAGTCTGAAGACATTGGCGCGGGTCGTCGGCGCCACTGTAGGACTCCGGTGGAAGGAAGATAGCGTGATGGAGGATACACTGGCGACAATCGACGCAGACATCAGCCAGGCCATTCAAAGCGCGAAGGAGGAGATAGACGGCGGGCGGGTCACGGATCTTCAGGAGGCGCGGGAGGTCGTGGACGAACTGCGGGCAGCGATTACGGAGAGTCAGATGGACACGAAGAAGTGGGACGGCGGGTTCCCGTTCGAGCGGGCGGAGGCGAGCTTGGAATACTGGCGGGTGTAGTTTTCGAATCCCAGGGGCATCGTCTGGTATCTTGGAATTACTGTGAATTGTACAGATAGCGAACAGACTTCAGGCATTGAGCTTATCTCCGTATAGTCTGCATGTCAGCTGGGTGCACATCACGAGGAGAACTAATTTGCTAACCTGGCTATCCCGGGCTGCGCGGCCCTCGCAGGCTGAGGCACGTTGATACCGCGTGCCAATCAAACGCAGCGGACTTCTGTCTGGTAGCCGGATCGATCTGACAAGGGTACGATCTTGTGAGTTGCGGTCCCCACACGGGCACACGACCGTACGGAATTCGCATCCAGTGCCACTCAAACTTCGCTTCTACGCAGGCATGATGCCAAATTATCAATCTGTTCCCTTCGCTGGGTTAGCAACGGTTATCGCGAAGCAGCGGGTTACGTGAATTACTTCTTGCGTAGTAGCCGACCTGACCGAGTTACCATTGCCTCCGACACGGTCACTCGAGTATGTCATACCCACACACACTGGTGCCGGTTTGTGGGTGTGATCTCAGGGCGTTAATTGCGCCACCACAGTGCATGCCAGTGGAAATTGGTCATGCATGCAACAAGGTGGTGTCATCTGAATGACCAGCTAAGACACCCTAATCTGCTTATGGTGCTCCTAGACCGGAGGTCGAGCTTGGCGCGTTCAGCACGGCAACCACACAAGCCTCATGAGATACTCACCGCGTATCGAGCGCGGTTTACGCCAGAACTCTCACCACATCGAGCATACTCGCTAAACAAGATAGTTGCCGCACCTGTCTTTCAAGCTACAGTCGCAGTGGCAAGAGCGGGATAGAACGACGCTTAACGCCTAGATGGTTGCCCTCGAGTGTCGCAGCGGGTGCCAATTTAGCGTCTGGACTTCTTCGACGGTCCACCGCCAACGCTCTCTCGAGCCCTTTTGCCTCCGGTGGTCAGCTCCTCCGGCTCCCGTGACCCTCCCTCGACCGCGCCTTTCCCCCGAAGGTAGTCCCAGACCAGAGTGTCGCTGTATGGCGCGCCAAAGTTGTCAAGGGCATCCGGCGGGTAGAACCAGTAGTTGAACGCCATGTGGACATCGCCGGTCGATGTCGACGTCACCTCGTGCCACCACGACGCCGGCAGATAAAGCATCTCCCCCTCGGAAAGCTCGACGACGTAAGGCTCGGTTGTTTTCTTGAGCCCGGGAAAGTCAGCGGGCGAGTACGTCTCGGGGAGCACGGCTGTTGTCGGAATGCCGAGGTGTTGATGCAGATGCGCCGTTGCAATGCGCGAGAATGACGATGGTTCGGTGGGACCTGCCTTTCCTCCTCCCAGCCCCTCCTCTTCCTCCTCGTCGCTGTCTTCTTTTTCCTCGTCGTCATCGTCGGTGTGTTCCTCGTTGTCGGAATGACCAATGCCCTTCCACTCCTCCTCCTCATCCTCATCCTCATCCCCTTCGTCGGCGCCCTTTCCGCTCCTGGAAGGCCCGTCGTCGAGGTCGTCGAGGTCATCCAGCCCACTCATGAGCGCGTCGAAGTCGTCCACCTCGTCATCGCCCTCGTGCTCATCGAGTGCTGCCTCGGCGAGCTCGTCCAGGGCTTCGTCGTGCGCGTCCATGAGTGCCTTCATCTCCTTCGAGTGGTTCTTGGCTTTCCCCTTGCCCTTGCTCCTCCTCTTGAGCGCATCAATTTTTAGCTCGAGCGCGCGCACCCGCGCCTTGCACGCTGCGCGTTTGGAGAGCCCATCCGCGCGGACGGGGATGTCCTCGTACGAGATGAGGCCGTTGGGATGGCGGGCGACGAGCGTTCCGTACGGGTAGAGGTGCTTCACTTCCGACGGCGGGAAGAGCACGAAGCGTTTTCGGCCTTTAAGCAGGCAGTAGATGTTGTCGTGGAAGTCGTGGTGCTGTACGCACCAACATCAGCCTCCTTTCTCGTACTAATAATTCGAAGCTCATATCGTGCAACGCTCACCAGTCCTGATGACGAGCCGTCCTTGGATCTTCCGAGCCATAGGTTGACCTGCTGCAAGAAGAGATTTCCCATGATGCGGGGTACGATAGGAAACTCATCCTTGAGCGCATTCGTTGGTGGAGGAAACACGGTCTCCGCGTCGGGATCGTCCTCCGAGTATTGGGTGGTCAGGTAAGGATGGGGGCCCTCTTCAACGCGCAAGGCGGCAAGGAAGTCGCGAAATGTCGTCGGCACGCGCTCGACGTCTGTCCCGTACTGGTTCGCGGTCGGGTGGATGGGCTCAACCATCACCTCCACGTCTCCGGCTTTTCTCGCCAGATAGTCGAGGTCTGTCTACTCTTCGCAACGAAGTCCGCGTTCGTCAGTGACCACAACGTGCATGCAACTCTATTACCCACCCAGTTCCGCCCCTGGAAAGCAACATCGTCTATCAGGCCGGTGAGGATGACTGGCCGGCGTTTTGAAACATATTTTGCGAAAAATTCCTCGGCAGATAGCTCGGGCGAGACACGCTCGAGCATCAATGTTTTGGGCATCGTTGACAGTTTGAGTAGACCTCTTCGAGGCTATATAAGACCAGGTCAGCTATATGGTCGCTATCTGGTCAACTTTTGAGTCGAGTGAGTGCCTGTTGTGGTGATGGCCCTGGGATCCGGAGTAACGGACTTCCGTCGGCGGCTATCAATATTTCCACTACGATGGTGAAAGCGCGGGTAAGCTTGAGTAAGTAATGTAAGTATCGTCATTCATTATATCGTAAGGAGTCTGGTTAGAGTCTCGCTAACCCATTCGATATCCGGGCTTGTCCTTGAACATCGAGCACGACGAGCTCGTCGCCATCCCCATCGTCGCCGTCGTCTCCACTCTCCGTGGCTCTCAGCTTTGTCTCGTATACCTGCATTGTCGGCTACCGACATACACGTAACCCGCCTCGCCTGGCATGCACCAGTCGCTTGCTAGCTAAACTATACCCTGGTCCCCTCGAACGTCGACGGAGTGCTTGACGATGGCGGACACAAAGCGGTCGTCCCAGATCCCGGTGATGAGTCCTCGCTCATCCTCGCTCTCGTCGTCCCTTGGTCTGGTGCCGCCCTCGAGATATCCGTCGGTGAGTGGCAGCCCGACACTCCCGACACCTAGTCCATCGGCTTCGAGCAACGGCGGAGGAAGCACGCCGTTTCGCTCGTTCCGAAACTTCCTCTCATTCGGAGGAGGGAGACATAGCTCCAACCCAAGCGTCTCTGCCCTGCCGAAGGGACCGTTCACCGGCCTCGGGCCTGTCAGGCGTTCCGTCAACGTTGAACGTAGGGTATCTTCCCCCCAACTCAACTCAAGACGTTCCGAGGACGACTATGTGCTCTCGATCGACTTTCCTCGTCCTGGCGGCGACAAGTCGACTCATACCCCGCGGTCGCAGAAGAGCGACTCAGGACTGGAACCTCCCCGAACTCCGCTCTCACAAATGTCCCATTCGTCCCGCTCAGAGAGTCCAACTAGCGATACGCTCGGTATGTCGCCCGCTCAGCGTTACTGGCCGCCTTCTTATTTTTGCAATCGTAGCCTCACCAGCGGCACCTGCGCTAGCCGCGACAGAGCTGTCAACTATCCTAGAGTCCGAGACTTCCGGGATCTCGAAGCATCTGCCGAGTTTAGATACCTCTCAAGCCAGCCATGGCGCGGACAGCGAACGGGAATCAGAACATGCCAGCCCAACCGGATTCTTGCCTCTAGAGCTATACCATCTGCGACCGCCATCCCACGATACCCGGCACAGAAGCCGTTCTCCCTCAAATGATACCTCTCCACTGGATCTCTCGACATCTAAGCTAACCAGCGAGGTAATGGCCGCCATGTCGGCCAGCCCAGGGAAGCAGGACTGGTTTAGTGGTATCGTTGTGGACGATACCACTTCAGATAGCGCAGCCAGCAGAGGGCGCACGCCAGAGTTCTCCGACATGAGCTTCAATCTGAACACTCTCGATCCGGACCTCGCCGCTTTGCTCAGTCCTCACCGGGCAAACGACACGGAACCGGCGTTGCTCGTCGCCATCGACGCAATACCCCCTCCCGCTTCCAGTTCTCCACCACCACAGTCATCACCACAGTCATCACCACCCTCTCCCCGTACATCGGTCGAAAAGCCCACAGTTACTCCCGCGCGCCGCCTCCCTCCTGCTTCCCTCTCCGCCGCCCCTCGTAGACCAGCTAATACCACCCTTCCCCGCATCGTACGCTCAGCGTCCGATAGGCCCGCTTTTCCCATCGCAGGGAAGACGGGCCTTCCGTCACCCATCAGCCGCACACCATCCGGCCGTGCAGCATCCCATAGTCCCGAGCGGCCCTCATCCATGGGCTCTGTGACAAGTACACAAAGCCACCACCGCCCGCAACGAACAGGGTCTATCGACGTCCGAAGGCCCAGTCCGGGCAGCGCCAGCGGTAGTACGGACAACCGGAAATCTGCCATCTCGCGTCTTATGACGCCCGCGCGTTCCTCCGCGTTGAGTCCATCGTCCTCCGCGAGCGGCTCGCGTCCACCCCTCTCCCGCTTCAATTCGGCTCAAGGCAGCAGTGTCTGGGATGCGGAATCGGTGTCTCCATCTTCGCGAGCACCTTCTTCTGTAGGGACGGCTCCAAGTCGTCTCCAGGAACACCGCCCAAGTCTCGACGTCGACCGCCCCCGGCCTATGGGCACGCGCACTCGGAAGCGCAGCTCGAGCGTCATCGAACATCGCGTAACCCCTGCGTCTCCGTCGTACATGACCTCGCCAGTACCTCGAGCTACGGACTGGCTAGGTCCTCGCACGCAAAAGGCCTTCGCCGCGGCAGGGCTGTTGGACTTCGAGAAAGACTCGCCCGCAAGCATCAGCCGACCGGGATCTCGTTTCGGCACCACCCGCAGCAGCGTCGAGCGAGAGCGTTCGAGGTACACGCCGTCGAGGACAGCGTTCTCCGAGGCCGGGTCTAGCTCCTCATGGGGAGCGCGGAGTCTCTCGCGGGCGACCGGTTACGCGGAGATGACTGGCGGTCCCTCGAGGGAAAGTATGTCGACACCTCGAACGACGTTTTCCAGCGCCTCGACAGCCCCCACATCCATCTCTGCGTCGTCTTCTGTGCAGCAGCACATTCAGACGGAGCTTCAGCTGCTGCAAGATCGACACGCGCTCGAGAGCGGTGCCCTCCTCAACGCCCTCGCCGACTCGCAACGAACTACCAAATTGTTGCGTGAAGAGAACGCCCAGCTGCGCGAGCGTCTCCAGTTTCTCGAAGACAAGCTGGCAGACGCCGAGGACCGCATGCAGCAACTCCAGTACGCACAGCCACCTCCCCCTCCTGCGGCGACCTCGCGTTCAGCCTATAGCCGGCGCTTTGCGAGCCCCGCTCTGTCTGAAAACCGCACTCTGCCCACACACTCGCGTCATGGCTCCTTCCTCCGCGCCCAGACCGACACCCGCCACGAGCTCTCTTCGCCCGAACCGAGCTCGCACTCGCCCGAAACGCCCGAAGACCACTCCGAAGGCTTCCCTCGGGCGCACCGCAAGCGCACAAGCGTCGCGTCGTCCGTCTTCGCCGCTGTTCCGAACAACATGTCTATGATTATGCAGGAAGAGGGCACGACGTCCGACTCTATCGGCGGCCTGTCGATGCACTCGTCGCCGCCCGGCTCGCCGACGATGGTCCTCGGACGGGTGCAGCCGCCCCCGATCGACACGAAGCCGCACCCGTACCCGCGGCCCGGCCATGCACTGAGCAAGTCCGTCTCGTCGTCCGCAGGCAACATCTCGCCGACGACGGCGAACTTCTCGATGCTGACCGGCTCGCCGGGCAGCCTGAACCTCCGCCCGGAGCACGAGCGCCATCTGGGCGATATGCCGAGCCTGGACCTCGCGGACGGGTTCGAGGACTATGACGACGACGCCGGCGACCTATGATCTGCTTCTGCTGCTATGCGCGCATCCGCTCCCTCCCTCGCTGCTCTGTTGTCCCTTGCGCCCCGCTCCTCTTCGACCTTCTGTGTATATGTGACCTTCGTCTTCTTTGGATGTACATGGTTTGGCTAATCTGGTTCGCGTTCATTTACTCATTACGCTCCTTCGCGCACGCTCTCCTCGTTCCTCTCCTATCGCACCCGCATCGTATAATATAGACCGTCCACGCATTGCTGTCGGTCCCGCCTCGGGCCTGTACCCCCCACCGTGTTTGTCTAGTTCCCCGCTGTCAGTGTAGTGTACGTAGCAGCTCATTGCATTGGGTTTTGCCCAGTCCGAGCGACAGAGAGCGACAGTCGGCCGACGACAGAGGGCCTCATATACGCATTCAGTCGCGCCTGAGCTTGAATATTGTGAATGAACCGATCCTCCTCACCGGTACTAATATCACCATGTGGGAGCACACTCGCTATTAATCTCCAAATTGTGCTCAACACCCGACTGGTAATAACATCGCGCATGGTCTTCACCCATGTCATGCCGGTGGCCCTACCGAATACGATTCACACTGCGAGTCGGCGAGGGCCCAGGCCGCCCAGCTACGTCCACTGAGCGTTCACTTTCACCACAATCCATTAAACAGTAGCCTAAGTCGTACATCATCACGGGCGGTCATAATCACCATGAACATATCCTCTGAAAAGTCTTCGTCCTCACCCAGGGCGCGCCAGGCCCCCCGACGGGGCGGGATGGGCGGCAGGGAGCGCTCAGGCCGCCAGCGTCCAGGTGACGCCGTGCAGACGGCCGACGTCGAGCGACGCGAGCTGCTGGAACGCGGTGGGCGTGAGGTCGATGCTGCCGGGTGCGCAGCCCGCGCACCGGTCCGTCACGAGCACGGACACGGTCTTGCCGTCGGGGCCGGTCGCGGTGAGCTGCTTGTGGCAGATCGGGTTCCTAGAAGCGGAGCGCGGGGTCAGCGTCTGGGAGGGACGGGGCGGGCGGTACTGACGCGTTGGGGTTCGCACCGGCGCCGGGGAAGGTGTCGAACGTCTGGGCGTCGATGGCGACGATGAAGTCCGCGTCGGTGTTAGAGATGCCGCACGCGCCGAGACCGGCCTCGTAGAAGGTAGCTGCAGGCGAAAAGGGCGTAAGTATACTGAGCCGGCGGGGCGAGCGCTGGGACGCACCATCGCCAGTCCCGGAGGTGGCGGCGAGCGCGGAGGTCGCAAGGGAGGCGACGGCGACGAAGATGGTGGAGAAGTGCATGGTGAATATGAAAGAGAGTACGAAAGGGGGGAAAGGCACCGGGCCGGAAGGTGGAGATGTGTTGGAAGTGAAGGTGGGTGAGTTGCAAACTGAAGAACCTGAGCAGCGGTGGAGGTCGTTTTATACGGTGCATGGAGCGGCGCTCGCGCTGCCCGCAGCGTGGTCGAGCCCGACCGCCACCGGACAGAGCGGTGTACTAACGCGGGTATACTGGCGGCCATCAACGCGCATGATTGATGTGTTACTTTCGAAATACGACGGAAGCAGGTATCAGCGGACGCATCACCTACGATGTCCAAGCGGGAGCACTGTGTACGATGCCAGTGAAAGCATTCCCGGCATGGCGTTAAGGGTGTCGCATACAAGAAATTCAGCATCTGACAAAGGGTAAGCATACTAGTATGCCACACCTGCGAGAATGTACCACACAAGCGCACCTTTTACGTCGCGCCATGCGCTTGCTGGCGTTGGATCGCTGCGCGAAGCCCAGCCATTGACGACCGCGGCAAGGGCGCGCGCGCGTTGGCCGTCTAGACGGCGTCGACACCCTGTTCGAGACCGCGGTAAGCAATGAAACTGTTAGCATCGGTGGCCGCGAGCGTCGTAGAGGTGTTTCCTAGGCAAGGAGGTGATGTGGCCGCGATCCGGGAGCGAACGGTACACAGCCTCGCTGTGGTCGCCCTGTACAACGACCTGTTATGCCAGCGCAACGGTAGATGTCGCCGGATTGGCTTTCCACTAATAATATGGTCAGGTATCTCACCAGCGTATAGCATCCTTCACGGCCTGCGATGTGCTGGCAATGAAGCATTATTGGGCGTCCTATTGTCGCCCATGGCTTCAGCGAGAACTTTACTCAACCGCAGAGCGCCGTCAATGCAACTGCGCGTGCCACATCATGATCCGGGATGCGTGTCTTGTTATAAGCAGCCAGACCGCGGCCTTTCTCCAGAGACGTAGCTTAAGAGTAAACATTGAGATTTAGTCAAAAGGCAACGGGCCGATGGCAGAGGAGAAACACACTAACCCAGCGCCGACCGCAGAGGCCTGCAATCGACTGCGGACATACCCCTGGAACGTGATGAGTGCTCGCTCGCGCACGCACAACGCCTGCTTGCCTTCCAGCTCGCTGCTCAAGGGGGATTGACGAGACGAATATTTGAATGCGTCGGGATGCTGCAAGACGGCCGCCAGCATGTACTCTTCAACTGCACGCGCTACCGCCGGTGGTGGAAGTATTTTGCAAGGCGAGTTTGAATTCCTGCCACGGGTGCGCGCGTACTATGAGCTCGACGAGTTTCTGACCACGACTGAGAGCGCGCGTTCGTTCGAGGACGCGCCGACCTAAGATGATCTTTAAAGATGTGAAGAGCGGGACGAGAAGAACCACTGATCAGCAAAACGCGGGGTTTGCTATAAGCGCTTATAGGCGCCTACGAACACTGTAATCGCTCATCATGCCGAGGGCAGGTTGTAGCCACACTGTAATATCCTGCCGTGTCGGACGGCCCATTGTCATATAACGTAGCCGGCGACGGATAGTTATAGCTGTGGACCGGGAATTATAGCATGACTGCAATGTCTCGTCCTGCGGGTCCTTCAGCCACGAGGAGCGGGCAGTGAAGAGACCAGCCTATGCCGCCAGTCACCGTAAGGCTCGGAGTGAATGAATACAAATGATTATAATCGCGGGTATTCGTACTCTAAGTCGTCGTCCTCTTCGTCCTCGTCACTCGGTCCTTCGCCGTCATCGAGACTTGCATCGGATGGGAGGCCCCCGTACGTGTCCGCATCATCCGAGCCAGCATCTTCCATGTCAACGTCTTCCTCCAGAGCGTCTTCCGTCTGCGTGTCCTCCAGCAGGACGTCCGCATCCTCGTCCTCGTCCTCCAGCACTATATCGGCATCCAGCGCGTTCTCGTCCTCGTCGCCGCCTGCAGCGTCTTCGTCCGCGTCCGGGCCAGCGCGGTCCTCGTCCCAATCGACAGCGAACTCTTGCTGCGCTTCAAGCTCCACTGAGGCCGCGGGACCGGTCCTCCAAGGCAGGTCGTCCTCGCTATCCGAAGCGGGCTCGAGGTGTGGCAGCGGCTTGGTGTCCTCGCCGCTTACATGAGATAGGTCGGGAGGTGCTGCCCGGGAAACTCGCTCGCAGGCGCGCCGAGATTCTTGAACGCTGACGCCGATCCCACGATGGCCCACTCCACCGCCGAGGTGTCGCATGAACGTGTCGCGGTCCGCACACCTGTCAAAGGAGCGAACATTAGAGGGTATCAGCGCACCAAGAACTCCATGGCACATACATCCCGACGAAGTAATAGCGATAGTCTTCATCCGGGTGGCTGGTGTGTCGTCCGACCGAGCCGGCGTAGTCGAGGCGCTCGCTGGTGAGCCCACTCTCGAATGACGGTACGATGTAAGCGGCACGCAGTACATCGGCGGGATCTACGAAGTCGAAGGCGACCGCGGTGTTGTCGTGAGCATCGACGAACTGTATCCGAGGGGGGCGGGAGTGTTTGAACCCAGAGGGGTAGCTTGTGTCGAGCTCGAACCACCGGACCCAGAGCAGCTCGATGCGCTGCCACTTGCGCGACTGCACAGTCGAATCGGGGCCCCCGTACCGCGCGTGGAGGTGGAAGATGCCGACGACACGAGCATACAAGAACCGGTCATCAGCGGTGTCGTCAGGAGCGCGCGGCGCAAGGAGCATCACGTCCGCGTGGGTGCGCGGGTTTACGGAGTCTTGGTCTCGTCGCATGTCGTATGTTGTATAATTGAAGCGAATGACGCGGTGCGTGTACAACACATCGCCCTGGATGTCGAGGCCAAGAATATGGCGGTCCGTGATGTCGACGTCGTCGTTGCGGAGCAGGCGACGCAGGAGGTGGGCATGGAGACGCGGCATAAAGTCCTATAAATTAATATCAATAAAGATAATGCAGCGGAATGCGGGCATACGTGCCAGTAGAGCGGGGTCGTCCTTATTGTCAGTCATCCAGTTGTAGATCTGCACCCGATCGTGTTCAGAGATGCCCATGTCGTAGCGTGCACCAATGTCACCGGCCCCCGGGCTCTTGATCTCAGCGTGTTCATCGTCGAAGGCAGGATCTTCCTTCGGCCGACGTGGCTGGGGCACGACGCGCCCGCGTCGCTTGCGTTTCCGCGACTGGCCTGGTAGGGGAATGGGGCCAGAAGGTCCAGCCCCGGCACCGACTGCATCTTCGCGGGCGTGCAAGCGAATCCCACGGATGATCGCCTGACGCTGCTGGTGCTTAGCGATCTGCGCCGCGAACCCATTTTTGTTAGTGCGAGCATACGCGCGTTTGACATGGCGGTGCTCAAGCTCTCCCTGGATAACGGTCAGACGGTCAGCCCTACGCACAAAATGGACATATGGACATACCGTCTGTGCAGATGTCGTCTCGAGTGGCCCTGCCAACTCTACGTAGTCCGGGTGATCTCCGAGGCAGTGATACTTGTAGGTCTTCCAGCCATTGTACTTTACAATGCGTGCCTTCGTTTTTACGGGTTTGCTCCCAAGCTTTGCGCCCTGACGACGTGCGCGTGCGTCAGACTCCTTCTTGAGCTCGTGTGTGACGTGGGTCTCGCAGGTTGTGCGTGCGAAGCGACGGACCGCCGCGTACATGTGAGTTGTCGCAGCCCGGAAGACCTCGACCGTGACCTCTGTATGAAGTCGCAGTTTAGCAAGAGCATGCCAGACCATGAGCTCGTACAGAAGGTCGGCCACAGTCTGATCGTCACCGAGGGGGAGTAGCCCCTCGAAAGCGGGCATAGCGGTCTGGTCAAATAGCGTGAGCACTGAGCGATGAGCGGCGATAGCACGCGTGATACTTACAATCAAGAAGTCTTCGTAGTCCCGTGCCGCGAGCTTGTTTTGTCGAGAGACGTTATGCCAGAAGCGCCGGATCTTGTCTTGCCCAAACGTCGGCATCTGACGCATTCATCAGGAAAAGCCAAATCCTCCAGACGGAGACGCCCGACTCCAGCGCTCCAGGGGCCTCCATATGGAGACACGTTCTCCATCCCTGCGACAAACCTCATCTCGCGCTTGCTTCGACGTACGAGCTCATAGATCTGGCCTTCCGTAGGCCGGCCGCAGTGATTTTAATTGTGAGCGGGGAGGCGTCGTTGGTGAGTCGCGCGGGGAAGCCGT